CTTTTTCTTCATCTCACTCTCTCTAGGTTTATGGGCTATCATCCAAAATGATGAATTTCGAAAGCAAGATCCAAGAGTCACTTTGGTAAGGCGATGAATTGCTCTCTTTGCTAGTTCATCTTCTTACCAGTTGACGGAGAAAGGCTTGTTTGTAGCATTGCCAGCTATCAATCTTGTGATGGTTGCATGGATGTCTGTGATGATGGTTGGTAAAGAGGTCCTTCCTGTCACTTTAGCTATCACGGGGTCAGTTTCATCTTTTCTTTCTCTCTTTATCTCCTTTTTCTTTTAGTTTGTTTCTCATTAGCCTTTTTGTGGTACCCCTCCAATCATCTTTTGTCAAACCAGGGACACCTTTAGATGATGGTATTAAATTAAACCTCATTTCTTTGTCCTCATTTTTTTCTAGGCCTGATCCTTCCAAGGCCTATTGGTCTTGCATATCTATTATTAATTTCTATGCTACCAGGGATCATATTCTCTAGTATAAATTCTGTGCACATGTTTTCCGACTTTGAGGACCTTTTTGTAAGCACTTAAGACTACTTATTATTAGTGTCTATGTTGATACTTCACTTTCATTTTTTGTGTGTTGTTGTTTTTGTTGTTTAGTTGTGTCAGCTTTTCTTTACTGGGCCAGTTTTTGTTCTCTCATTGCTTGAATCTCAAGGGATTTTCCTATGGTTTGGTAAGTGAATAAAGTCTGTTCTTAGTCACACTAACTAATCCACTGACAGGTAATGTAAGTGAGAGAACTATACTATTGACCAGATGGGGCTTTGGTATATTAGCTATGGTATGTCATTTACACTGATATTCTAATCTTACTATTCTTTTATCTGTTCCTTACTATTATTCCTTAGGCTGCTCTCTCACTTTATCTTAATTATGTGCCTGCCTCAACTGATATCCCAAGACTAGCTGTCCCTCTCATCTTCTCATTCATTGCTCTCCTCTCCACTCTTAGCTCTCAAGGCTATGACTTTAGGTTTATCATAGGAATGGTAGTACTGAATGTAATACTTGTACTGACATTAGCTCTTCAACTCCCATGGGAAGTTCAGTAAGTAAAAAAACTGAGTGCTAATGATGCATGTACATGTATGCTCAGGGTTTGTCACAAAGCATGCTCAGTGAGCTAAAAGCATGCCTCAAGAGCAGACAAGCCTTATAATAGCATACGGCTTTGGGAACAATTTTAAAAATTTGTATAAAATCCAATTTTGATTGGAACCTGCTCAAAGTTTTTACATAACATAAGGAATTGTATTTGTATCAGATAAAAATTATTAAAATGGAGAATTCTCTCCTAGACATTTTTGGCAAAATTTGGCCAATGACCATGTACTATTATAGTACGAGGACTTTGGCCTTATTTTTACCAACTTTAAATGATGAGTTTTCTCCTAGACATTTTTGGCAAAATTTGGCCAATGACCATGTACTATTATTATAGTACAAGGGCTTTGGCCTGTTTTTTTACCAACTTTAAAATTTGCTGAAAGCCATACACTATTTCAAAATCTCGTGGAAAACTCTGTGTATGCTGTGTATGGACTATGAAACAGTTCATCTTTATAATCTGGTTTTTCTTTTTTTATTTCAGGTATAATTTCTCATTGGTGTCCCTCCCTCTCTGGGCACTACAGCTCCTCCTAGTATTATTAATGATAGGTTCTCTTGTACTTCTCCTTGGGTGGCAGAAAGACCTCACTTTACTATGGCCCACTTATCATGCCGGTAACATATTAAATATGATTCTTATTATTTTTATTGTTCTTTTTTTAGTTTTTGTTGGATGCGAGTTTATAATGAATAGCGAAGGGATTTATTCTTTGAGTTTTCTTTTAATAACTGGTTTTGCAGCTGTCTTGCTCTGTCTGAGGTACTTTTTAAGGAAAGTCTGTATTACTTCACCTCCTATTCTACCACAGGTTACACACTGTTGGTCGCCTACCACTCCCATTGACTATACTCTGCGTCTGTCTCCACGTTTTAAAGTTGTCTCATTTTCTTCCCGACTCCACATCTTTCTCGACCTCCTCCTCCTTCCTTTCTCTCTTTGGCCTAATGCTTACTGCCGTCTCTCTCTTGAAATTGTTTTCTTCTGAGTCGCTTTCGCTCAAACTGGTAATGATAGAAAAATTGCCATGCATATAGCATTGTAATTGTACACTTGTTCTCTCTTTGTCTCTAGTTGCTCTCATTCTCTATTGTACTAGCCGTTGGTTTGGTCTGCAGTATTCAGTTGCTGGTTGTTCCGTTGTTAATCTCAATCACTCACACTCCTCCCACTTCCTCTGACCTTGCAGGTTAGTATCTATTCTATATAAGGTGTCGACCTTATATGGTCAATACTGAGCTGGCTCACTTTTTGATTGGCAGCTCGGACTTTTTGAGTGCTTTTGTGGTGTCTATTACATTAGTATATGAAATTTTTGGGAGTGTGGTTTTTTTAATTATCTATTTTGTTTTTATTTTCTTGATTAGCTTTTATCGTCCTTTTTGTTGGGATCTTGTTGCAATATTTCACTCCTCGACTAAAGAGTGGAAAATCCTCTTCTCTCATTGTCGTTAAGTATCTTCCTCCGTCTCTCTTCTTCCTTGCCACTTTGCTGTGGCTACTGCAGCCAGAGTTTAACCTCTTTGAGGTAAAGTGTGGTTATCAATTAGTAGTTATGATAGATATTTATAAATAAAAGTAGTTATTGGTAGTAATTAAAAGTTAATTTTTGCAGATTAATGATGCAGTGAGTGTTGTGATCTTACACGAAGTTAATGTTAATAAGTATCTTGGTCGCATTGTAACTTCAGAGCAATTGTCTCTATTGGCATGGTAAGTGTATGTTGTAGTCACTAATAATTTTGAACTGAGTCCAATAAAAATTGGTTTTTTACACATGTACAGTACATGTATTTTAAAAAGTATGCTACAATATTTTTAATTTTTCATCCATTCTTAGGACTGTCGTTATGAAGTGGTTGGTTGTTCTTTATTCACTGATGATTGTTGCTTCTGTTTCATTCAAACTTTGTTTCCCTGAGCTGATGCTTCAAGCAGCATTATCTCTATTTTGTGGCTCAGCCAGTGTCCTATTCTCTTTACAAGTAATTGGGAAATACACAATTACTTTTTGCTTTTCTAAGACAAAATGTTATTTTCACTCTTTTCTAGTTTGGCCATCACACTCCATTCTCTTTTCTTGGGATCTTGTATGGAGTCTCGGGATTGATTGGTGGCTTCCTCCTCTCTCTTATTTTACTTAAGAAATCAGGCACACCCACCTGGTTTGAAGGACTACTGTAAGCAAAGCAATAGTTATGAATCTACTACTACTATTATTATTATTATTATTATTACCATACATTAGGTTGTTTCTGCTGACCTGTTTGTGCATGATAACATTAACTTGTGAATGGGGATCCTTACCTTCACATGTCAATGGTAAGACCTAATGTCACTTACTCAATCACTATCTCTCTATATCTCTCTTTTAGAGCCAGTCTCTATTCCAAGTGCTTCCCTTTTCTTGCTTCTCTTTGTTTCTATTGCAGTTGTTCTTAAAGCTAAATCAGTTAGTATAACACTAAATAGCTTTACTTCATATCAATCTCATTCCTCTTTACAGTTATCAGGGAAGCCATTACTCCCATTCCTTTGCAATGCTAGTATATTGATTGCCTTCCTGATAGCCGTTTGTCTGGAGTTGCCTCTTAAATTAGAGAAGGCACTTGTTGTATCTCTCTCCTCGTGTCTTTTTCTTCTCCTTCAGTCGGATGGTTGGATTGTGTCTACAAAGAGAGTCTCTAACCTTTTCCTGGCTCCATCCCTTGTTGCTTCTTCCTTGACACTATTTATCATCTCTTTCTTTAGAATTGTTGATGATTTATCGATTCAAATGACAATAAGTGAGTTGGCTGGTTTTAATATTTACATAACCTTTAATACTTCCTTTTTATTATTTTCCTTTTCTTTTCTGGCGATCACATTTTTATTTGCTTCCTTTCTCGTTTTTAGTGACATCTCTTGAATTAATTTGTCTCTTTGCTTGCATCCCCGGGCAAGTCAAGTTCCTCTACAGCCTATGGAAGGGGCTCCCGCTTCGTTTGAGTGTCTTTAAAGTTTTGTTTTACATACTTCCCAATGCATTCCTGATACAATATGGAGGATCTGTTAATGTAGTGTTTGGCTCTACTGTTGTCCTTGCCTTTAGTTTACTGGCAGTCTCTGAATTTCAGACATTCCTGGTACTATAGTTGTGCAAATTATTGGAAAATTTTTTTTGATTTTTTATAAATTATAATTTTTGTTACCACGCATGTGGTAAAGGCAAATTTAGTTTAAGATATTTTGAATGAGCAAAAATAAAATACATTGAAAATAATTTAAAAGTATTTGATGTAGTAAAAATAATAGTACAAAAACTGATATAGAAGAGATAATGCAGATAATATATTATGTACATTGTGGTTTCGAGATGAATCAAAAACTTTTGAATAATTCACACGTTTTATGCAGCTTGTAACAAGTCAAGACAAATGTTCCTACAGCAACGATGAATAGAAATATTATCCAGCCTATGACTAGCGTAATACTAGACCAAAGGCAGGTCTTCCTTGATGCCTTGCTTGCTGCTAGGACGTTACCGTTTTCATTGTTTTCCTGTACTCTTGCAGAATAATAAAGAGCCAGCCATGTAGTGGGGGAGAGGAAACAACAGAAGTAGACAATAGCGACTAGAGTTTGATGTGAACTGGGACCTCTTATAGGAGGAGGGCCAATGTAATTATTCTGAGAAGAAAAAATAAAGGAAGAAAAGTGTTGAATGGACTGACTTTTGGTCTGTGGCTCTGTTGGTAGGTTGGAGGCGGTTTTCCCCCGCAGTTCAGTGAGTGATAGGACGGAGGAGGTGTTTCTGGTTGTAGCAGAGGCTCCCCTAAGAAACATGATACAGGATAAAGCAATTAGTCTTACAAGAAGAGGAATTACTTTCACGTTCAAAAGGTGTACTGTCATCATTAGTCGACATGTTAATTAGCAAATTTAGCTAAAATGAAGCCACGCCTTCAAGAATTCTAATTTTCCGTGCACTATGAAGATACTTCCGTATAGCACATATGTTGCTATAGTAACTGAATTATTATCATTGGCTGAACATTGAACAAAGTCAACAAACTTGGGGCTGAAAACTCGTTGAAAGACTTAGCATGCCTTTAGTTCTTAGAGCTAAGACTGTAGTTGTGGGTAAGTAAAAATCTATTTTTGAGTTATAATTTATAAAACACAAATACTATATATACATATAGGCTTAGCCTTTGATTTTTGGATCCAAAATCATTCGTGATCTTTATTACATTTTCTGATGCATATTGATTTCCTTATGCTATGTAGGAAGTTTGAACTGTTTCCAAAAAATAGTTTTGAGTTATGAGCATTATAAAAACAAGAAAATTTTTGGAAAAAAAGCGAAGGCTATAACCCATGTTTTTTTCCAAAGAATGGCTCCAAAAATCACTCCAAATTTTTATTACAATTACTGATACATATTGATGTACTTATGCTGTGTAGAAAGTTTGAGCTCATTCTGACTTCAAAGTTTTAAGTTATAGCCATTTTAAGAAAATGCCAAAATTCTGAAAAATACCCAAGGCTATAGTCCATTTTTTTTTTTTTTTTTTTTTTTTAATAATAATAATAATAATAAAATGAATTTGAAATAGGATCAGAAATCAGTAGTAATGAATTCATAAGTGAAATTAGTAATAATAATAATAATAATAATAATCTTTATTAATATGTTAGTGACATTGAAGTCGAGCATCAGAGATTGCTACATCAATGTCACAGTCACTGGGCCTATGGTTTTTCCAAAAAATGGGTCCAAAATCACCCCAAGTTTTTATTATATTTTCTGATGCATGTTGACGTCCTTATGCTGTGTAGAAAGTTTGAGCTAATTCTGACTTCAATTTTTCAAGTTACAGCCATTTTAAGAAAATGCCGAAATTCTGAAAAATACCCAAGGCTATAGTCCATGGTTTTATAGCCCATGGTTTTTCTCCAAAAAATGGGTCCAAAATCACCCCAAGTTTTTATTACATTTTCTGATACATATTAATGTACTTATGCTTTGTAGAAGGTTTGAGCTGATTCTGACTTCAAATTGTGAAGTTATGGCCATTTTAAGAAAATGCCGAAATTCCGAAAAATATTTTTTGGAAAAACAATGGGCTATAGCCCATGGTTTTTCCCAAAAAATGGCTCCAAAATTATCTTTAATTTTTATTACATTTTAAAATACATATTGACATCCTTATGCTATGTTGAAAGTTTGAGCTGTTTCCAACAAATAATTTTTGAGTTATGAGCATTTAAAAACAAGAAAATTTTTGAAAAAAAAGCAAAGGCTATAGCCCATGTTTTTTTCCAAAAAATGGCTCAAAAATCACTTCATATTTTCTGATGCATGTTGATGTTGATTTAAGTAGCAAATTTTGAGAAAAAAACAAAGACTTATTGTTTTCCTTTGCTAGGTGACCCTGCTGTTGGTAAATCAGCTTTAATCAAATCATTACAAACTGATGGAACACAATTCCTCAAAAGCTACTCAATGGTCAGCATGACATACTTAACCTTATTGATACTGACTGTTATAGACACTAGGAGTTGATATTTCTATGAAAACAATAAACTTGAAGGACTCTGAAGACATTGTTGTGAGTTAGAGACAATAATGAAAGGAAGGAGAATTGATGCCATTTTATAGGAGCTGTATGTGTATGATTCAGCAGGAAAAGAACTGTATTCAGACTTTGTTCAAAACTTTGTAAGAAATGAATGTCCCCATTATAAGTCTATATCATTGTCATGCATTATTAAATAAAGTGGGAGCATCCAGGAGTTGTTGCTGTCGTGTTTGATGTAACAGATAGACAGTCATTTCAGTCCTGTACCAAATGGCTAGAGCGAGTTAAAGCTAGGAAAGCTGCAGTTGAGCTTGTTTTACCAGGTAGGACTTAAAGCAGTTTGCACTATAATGATAATACTATTCAATCTTTTAGGTGTATTGATTGCAAATAAAGTTGATCTAACTCAACGCCGTGAAGTAACAGAAGAAGAAGGAAGGAGCTTTGCTAAATCAAAAGAATTGGAATATTTTGAATGCTCTGCTGTAAGGAAAAAGAAAAAATGAGAGAGAGAGAGAGAGTCCTGGTGATTTTTATTATTTTTTTAGAAAGAGCAAGATAACATACAAGAACCTTTCAAGTATTTGGCTGAATCATTTCATTCACTTTATCAAAGCAAAGCAAATCAAATACAGACTCTTGTCCTTTCATGAATAATGCACACATTAATTCTAAATCAGGGCGGGGGTGTTGTTTACTCTAATATCTATGGTTGTTTGTCATTTAATGAGCCCCACCCAAAGCTGAACATGGATTCTAGGTCTCCTTTACTACAGTTGATACTGGTGGCTCTGCAATTGAGCCTTCAAGTAGCTTGTCAGTCAGGATCTGGATCGAGTTCTGGATTTGAGTCTGGATCTGGTGACGACACTACCACAGAAGGTATAACCGACTACCTACCCTTTCAAGATCTTGGGACTACAACTGGAATTGATAGGCAATGCCTGAAACGGAGGTTGGATGGCGCATCCCCAGCTATAAACATACCAGTTGGTTTCCCGATTGGTACTAGCATACAGTCTAAAGCATATGTAAGCATACTCTGTAAAAAATTAAAGATTTGCAACTGATTTTCTCATAGGTTGGTACTAATGGTATTATATCTTTTGATGAGCCTTTTCTCTATTGGTATCCGTCTCCTTTTCCAACACGATGGGGCTCGGTAAAGAGACGCTATGTTGTGGCTCCATACTGGAGTGACAATGATATCAGAGATGAAGGAGATGTCTGCTATGAAGTCCACAATGAAGACAGCAACCTAATGCGAAGTATCAGTGAGTTCATTTCCTACAAGTCAGGGAGTGCATTCAGAGGGAACTGGATGTTGTTAGCTGAATGGAGTGATGTCCATCCCTACCCTCACGGCTCTTTGCATTGGTGGTGGTGGTCATACTATGGTAATATTCGATCTTTCACTCAAAATGTAAGCGTATAATAAACTAATTATTTGTTTCATCTAATGCTTGTAGGAGAACACTTATCAAGCTGTTGTCATAACTGATGGGGTTACTTCCTATTCTCTCTTTACTTATAACTGTGAGGAGCTCCAGTGGTCTGGTCGCTGGAGAGGAGCTACCATTGGGTATAACTCTGGAGGAAGATTCTACAGGAATGACAAGCTATCTGGACTCAAACAAGCCAAGCAGATTGGCTGCAGAAATGAGCCAATGTCTCCATACAATAATGTCATTTATCAGCTCAGTGTCTCAGCTGATGTAATTCAACAACTACGCAAGAGATGCTATGATATGCACAGAGAAGACATCAAATTGCACAAGGACATTCATGACATTTATAACTCCTTAGAGCCTTGTCCATGCACTTGGTGGCAAGGTTGGAGGGACAGACGATTCACTTTTCAGTGGCAGGCATGGTATGATGGCTCACTTTGTCATCAGCAAAGGTTCCCTAGGAATAAAGCTGCTCAATTTTGCTGCTATTCCCTAAAGTATTTGATTATTGATGTAATACTATTTTATATATTTTTTACATTATAGCTGGCCGGGTTGGGGCTCATTGAAGACAGCTCAATCCACTAGTGACTGGGGCACTAACATGCTTCGTTATCATCCTGGCCGTGACTACTTGAAGTTTTTAAAGTATGATCATGAATTCCGTAGGACCTGCTGCTCTGTTGGACTTTGCTCACTCTATTACGAGAGGAGACCAACTAACAACTGTGCTAGATACAGACCTCCTAGAAGAAGTTAGAATATTAAAAGTTTATTATAATGTTTTATTTTATCTGTAGCTTGGGGTTGGGGCGACCCTCACATCACAACACTTGACAATTTTCAGTACACATTCAATGGCTTGGGAGAGTTCATTCTATTGGAGTTGAATGATGGATCATTTACAATCCAAGGAAGAGCCATCCCTGTCAATAGCGAAGTAAAAGCAACGAAGTTCTCTTCACTGGCATTTAAAGAAAATATCAGCGAATCAGTGGAAATAAAAGTAGTCATAAAAACATGATTTATTTTTTATATGCCTCTTTTATTTATGTATGTAGTATAATGATAATGATTTTACTGTCTATGTTGACAAGATTGATATGTCTGACATGCTATCAAATGTGAATGAGACTTACAACAATAATGATAGCAGTATAGAGCTGACAAGGCAGGACACTGACTCAATGCTAGTTGCATTTGCTAATGGAATCTCAGTCACTGTTAACATTACAATGGAGCTTCTACACTTCACAATAGCTCTGCCTGAAGACTACATCAATCAAACGCGAGGACTCTTGGGAAATTACAATGGAATTAAAGATGATGATTTAGAGGAGTATAATGGGACTGCTTATGAAAATGCGACAAAGCTTAATGAATCAGCTATATATGATGTGGCAAATACATGTAAGTGCATAATGATGCTACTTTATAAATAGCAACAATGCTTTTCTTTAGGGAGAGTAAAGGATAATAGTTCATCTTTGTTTGTTTCACCAGCTCCTAATCCCGATCCCTCCTTTAAACCAACTTTTGTTGATTTATCATCGGTGAATGAAACTGTCGTTGAAGCTTGTGAAAACGATACTGCTTGTGTCATTGATGCTACACTTACTAACAATATATCCATTGGTCTGGGTACACTAAATGTTAACAGTGTAAATGTAGTTGAAATGAATGAGCTATGTAAGTATTATTAATGATTGAAAGAGGCATTGTACTTATTTCCTTTATTTTGGTAGCAAACTTCCCCCCTACCATGACTGGTGATGCAAACATCACAGTGTTCAACAATGTCCCTGTAACTTACAATTTCCATGTGAGTGATACTGGAGCAGTCACTGTAGCAGTTAGTGGGTCAGAGCCAAGCACTGGATCATTGAATGACTTGGGGAATGGAGACTGGGAGTATACATTCACTTGGACAATCGACAACCCTACAAGCTTTTCCCTGTCGTTTGTAGCTACAGATGCTTTTAATGCATCAGCTACTTTAGTGCCACTAGTAAGCAGTTCTTATGATTATATATCTACATGTACATGGTATTAGGTTTCTATCTGTGGCTGTATCAATGATGGAAATTGCACATATGACGGAGTTGTAGATGCAACAAACACAACTATTGTATTACCATGTGAATGCCCTGAAGATGGTGAGTATTGAATCCTCTATTTAGCAATAATGATGATGATGAATGTTCATTCATAGTTTGGGAGGGTCAATATTGTGAGATTGATGTTGATGGATGTGAGTTTACTTTGTGTTTTGATGATGTTGAGTGCTCTGATAATCCTGCTCCAATGGCTGGAGCTTCGTGTGGTCCTTGTCCCCAAGGATTCTCTGGTGATGGCACAAAATGCAACGGTGAGACATTATACTAACTACCATTATGCCGGTTTATTTTTGTGGTAGAAAATTTTTTTGCGAATCTTGCATTTCTAAGATTTTGCAGAATTAATTTCGCAAATAGCTTGCAGACTACATCACGTGGCAATGAAAATGCAGAATTTTGTGGTGAAAAAATTTCGCGATGAAGCAAGAAACTACAAAATTCGCGAAAATATTTCACTACAAAAATAAACCGGCATACGGTATTATATTGAATGATTTCAAATTGTAGATGTTGATGAGTGTGTTAATGGGACTAATCTCTGTGAACAAAGGTGTGTCAATACTGAAGGTAGCTATCACTGCGAATGTTGGGATGGATATCGACGCATTAACGACTCGCATTGTGAAGGTGTTTGATGATTGGTAATTACAATGATGACACTTTGTTCTGCATAGATATCAACGAGTGTGCTGGTTACAATGATTGTCATCAATTCTGTAATAACACGATTGGATCTTATTTCTGTAGCTGCCGGGAAGGATTTCATTTGGAAACTGATAATGAGACGTGTGCTGGTATGCATCATTGAGCAGTATACTAATGTTCTTATACTTTATAGCTAATGTTAACTGCCCTCCTAGTACTGTTATTCCAAGAGGCGTATATTGTGCCTGGATTAATAACGCTATTGTGTTTTATTGTGGTAAAGGATACACATACAATAGCAGTAGGAGTGAGTGTCAAGATACAAATGAGTGCTTATTGAATGGAGCTTGTGAACAAATCTGTAACAATACCATTGGATCTTTCTCGTGTTCATGCAGAGAAGGTTTTACAGTCTCTGGAAGACAATGCAATGGTGGGCAAATTATAATAATATTAGAGGATTTATTCTATTATTAAATGATAGATATTGATGAGTGCCTTGAAAATGCACTATCCAATGAACCTCCATTGTGTTCTGATACTCAAATGTGTACCAATACCATTGGTGACTATGAGTGTGTCTGTCCTGAAGGAACAGAAGTGATCAGTCTAGAGGAGTGTGGTAAATTATAACTATTATCATTAACTATGAAGATGATGATAATTAAAAATTTTATAGGTGTAATTCCGCCATCAATTTCATCTTCATCAACTTCATCTTCATCAACTTCATCTTCATCAACTTCATCTTCATCAACATGTAAGTAATAAAAATATTTCATTTTGACTTAGCATAATATTACAATACAGTTTCTTTTTCACAAACTCCTACGCAAACTACACCACCAACTGTACAGACTCCAACTATTGTGGAACCTCTACTCAATTTGATTGAACTCATTGCTATTGCTGTTGGTGGAGGAGTAGCATTAGCACTGTTGGTAATGCTGATGATTGTATGTGCTATGTTAGTGTAAGTTATGGAACAAGTCAATGCTTTGTAATTAAAATAATCTTTTTACTAGTCGCAAGAAAAAGAACAAAAAGTCAAAAAGAGTTCGTGTGATGCCAGCAAGAGATCCTAATACGGTTGAGCTGAGGGAGCAGTATAGAAATAGACAGACTTTTTAATAGCTACTGCTGTCATTGTAACAAATTGTTTTATGTTATGTTTTATAGCTATCTGATTTACAACAGGTAGGAGCAGCACAAGCGCATCATGTAATTTGGGCAATCAAGAGGAAAGAGGATTCTCTGTTTTTCATTTTTCAAATTTGCCCAACCTTAGCCCAATTTTTTGAGCAACTTCAAAAATTCATGAAAAACCAAATTTGATCAGAACCAGATCAATATTTCTATGCAACATAAGTACATACATATGCATCAGAAAAAAATTATAAAAATGAAGAATTCTTACCCATTTATTTTTGGTGAAATTTGGCAAATTTGATAGGAACCACTTTTTACTCAGCATATTAAATGTATCAAAAAAACTATTAAAATGGAGAATTCTCTCTTTTTCATTTTTGGAGCCAAGAAGTCAATTTCAACTACAACAGTATTTGTTTCAAAAAGTTTTGTGCAAAACAAACCGATAAAACTAATAACAATAATAATAATAATAATGTACTTGGTAATAGTAATAATAGATTTAAAAAAACTAAACTGCCTATAATTTCAAATATAAGAATAATAGTAATAATAATAATAATAATAATAATAAATCTTAGTTTTTATATTGAGAGAGTGAAAGGGAAAGGAATGCTGCAATTGCAAAACACATAAATGGTTTAGTTGCTGGCCCAAATAAACACACATTCGGACTATATATTGGATTCTCCCATTGGGGCAGCCTTGGATTCTCTCAAACGCCTCTGGCGATAATTCTCATAATGAACCTTGTCTGTAGTCTCCTTCAGATCCTGCATATGGGTCCTGGTTAAGAGAAGGATTGTCAATAGTACAGTGTAATCAGTACTGTATTTTTTTATTGTGTAATATTGTAATTGGGTGAAGCCCACTAAAATGAGAGTGGGTCTGTATCGGCATACGGTCATCTAACTATTATTAAAGTTAAATAGCCTAATTTTCGTTTAATGCGGGTGTGGTCACAATGAATAAAATAAAATGGCGGCTATCAGCAAGTACATCTTTATTTGTAGCAGGATAAGACTAAACTGTTATCCAAAGACTTCTCTAGCAACAATGAAGGCTATGCAGCACAACAATAGGCGTGGCTTGGGGGCTGAGCCCCTTCAATGTTCTACATTCTATTATTATTATTGTTATTATTGTGGGGTCTACAGAGTGCTGTGGTTCATTATTATTATTATTGTGGGGTCTATAGAGTGCTGTGGTTCATTATTATTATTATTGTGGGGTCTATAGTGTGTGTGGTTCATTATTATTATTATTGTGGGGTCTACAGAGTGCTGTGGTTCATCATTATTATTACTGTGGGGTCTATAGAGTGCTGTTGTTCATTATTATCATTATTGTGGGGTCTATAGAGTGCTGTGGTTCATTATTATTATTATTGTGGGGTCTATAGAGCGTTGTGGTTCACTTACTTAATGAGCATGTCTCTGACTTGAGCAAACTCGCAGTGTTTCTTATTCTCCACTTCAACAAAGCCCCACTTGGTCTGTCGGCCAAGGACCCTCTTCCCGCCCACGCTCATCTCCTTGTCACTACCGATGACAGCAAAAGGAATGAATTGCTGTAAAAAGAAATAGGATAGAAATATTAGGTGAGGTTTAGAGTATGAAGTATACCTCAATTTTGTTGTTTATGGCGGATTCTTCTTCATCGTCATAATTATAACCGGAGGGATATATCCGTATGTTGTGGAAAGTAAGATCCTCACGAATCTGATTAAAAAAAACACAATTTAAATATTAGAGATGTTGTATCATTAGTATGAAGCCATTTATCCTCTTACCCTGGCTTTAAAGGCATCCCTTTCCTCTATTGTGAGGGTGTCAGACTTGGCAATGACGGGGACAATGTTCACAAACTCGTCCAAACGCTTCATAAACTCAATATCTATTGGCCTTAAACTATAGAAGAGAAGAGAAAAGGATCAAAATGAGAGAGAGGGGGAGGGAGGAAGAGAGGGGGAGAAAGAGAGGCGGAGAGAGGAGTTACCAGTGGCCAGTGGGAGGTATGAAATAAAGGCAGCAGTGGACTCTGGTGTCTGGAATGATCCTCTTCCTAACAATGTTCACCTCCTCATGAAGATACTGAGCAAACTGGTCATTCACATATTCTAAAATTGGAGCCCAACTAGAGAAAAGGGAGAGAGATGTAGCATTCAAACATAAAAAATAATTATAAAAACGCAACAATTATCATACCATTTGTCATTGTTGATCTGATCACCAAACCCTGGAGTGTCAGTGATGGTCAGTTTCAGTCGAACATTCTGTTCCTCAATCACTGCAAATACAAATAAAGAGAATCTCTTGTTACTACGAAAGCCAGATCACTTACCGTGACTCACAGAATTGACTTCTGTGGTTTTGGGGATAATGTGTGGTCCAGGGGTACAAGAGGTACGACTTATCTTGCTCTTGAACAAAGTATTGACCAGAGTGCTCTTTCCAAGACCACTTTCACCTGTTGTAGAGGAGGGAGAAGGAATCAAAACCATTCAGACAACAATTAGATATTTAAAGCTGCTCAAATATATTTATATGGTCAAAGATAGTAGTCGAAAAAGACTAGGAGAAAATTCTCCATTTTATATTTCTTTTGATACGTATCGATGTTGTTATGCTATGTAGAAAGTTTAAGCTGTTTCTAACAAATAATTTTCGAGTCATGAGCATTTAAAAAAACGGGTCAATTTTTAGAAAAAAAGCAAAGGCCATGGTTTTTTCTAAAAATTGGCTCTGAAATCAACCCAAATTTTTATTACATTTTCTGATAGATATCAATGTCCTTATGCTATGTAGAAAGTTTGAGCTGATTCTGACAAATATTTTTTGAGTTATGAGCATTTTAAAAAATGAGCCAATTTTGGAAAAATACCCAAGGCTATAGCCCATGGTTTTTTCCAAAAAATGGCTCCGAAATCACCCCAAATTTTTATTACATTTTCTGATAAATATTGATGTCCCTATGCTATGTAGAAAGTTTGAGCTGTTTCTGACAAATATTTTTTGAGTTATGAGCATTTTTAAAAACGAACCAATTTTGGAAAAATACCCAAGGCTATAGCCCATGGTTTTTTCCAAAAAATGGCTCCGAAATCACCCCAAATTTTTATTACATTTTCTGATAAATATTGATGTCCTTATGCTATGTAGAAAGTTTGAGCTGTTTCTGACAAGTATTTTTTGAGTTATGAGTATTTTTAAAAACAAGCCAATTTTTGAAAAATACGCAAGGCTATAGCCCATGGTTTTTTCCAAAAAATTGCTCCAAAATCACCCCAAATTTTTATTACATTTTTTGATACACATCGATGCCCTTATACTATGTAGAAAGTTTCTCTTTCTGACAAATAATTTTCAAGTTATGATCATGTCGATACATTTATACACATTGGTCTTCAGTCCATGCATTTTTGTGCCTTAGTTGACACACACCAAGACACTACCTAAACCATTCATTAATGAGCCATTGCTAACTAATGCCCTAACACTGTGTGAGTAAGATTAGCTAGTGGAGGAGTGTCCTCCATTCATTATTATTTCATGCTGTCATTAATTACTGGCTCTATTGGATCATCACTTGTACATACTCTGTTTCATACCAGGAGGGAACAATTTCTTCCTTCCACCACTCCCTCCCTAATCAAAATTAATTGTTGCATGAATTTTGTCAATTTGCTCAAACAAAATAGTAGCTGAATTACAGCTAGTATTAAATGATAGTAGGTGGAGATGGTGTATAATTCAAATTCAATAAAGTCTCAATACAACAACAAGGTATGTAAACCACAACCGACCGAGTGAGTAAGAGATGTCATTATTATGCTGTGGTAACAAGATTCTACTACCAAATGTAAACTGGAATGCTAAGAAATTAGATCAAGCAACACTAATTTCTATACACAAAGAGAGAAGGTAGCAGCAGAGGAGGAGGAGGAGAAAGGAGATAAAGAAAACAGGGAGGGAGGGATGGAAGGAAGAAATTGTTCCCTCCTGGTATGAAACAGAGTATGTACAAGTGATGATACAATAGAGCCAGTAATTAATGACAGCACGTAATAATAATGAATAGAGGACACTCCTCCACTAGCTAATCTTACTCACACGCAGTGTTAGGGCATTAGTTAGCAATGGCTCATTAATGGATGGTTTAGGTAGCGTCCTGTGTGTGTCAATTAAGGCACAAAAATGCATGGACTGAAGACCAATGTGTATAAATGTATCGACATGAGAATGTGTGTGTCTTTAGGCAAAATAAGGTCAAGATATATTTGTACAGATGTCGATATGTGTGTGATCACTTACCAACTACAATGAGATTGAATTCAAATCCTTTCTTTAGCGATTTCTTCCTAATTTGCTCTTGTATCGTATCGAAGCCCACGTATCCCTCAAGACGTGTCGTAAGGTTGCCCCAGCGTGTTGTCTCGGTCAATATCTCGCCCATCATCTCTAGAAAATCGGCAAACGCTATCGTGGGGTTGTCTAAAAAATAAAATAAAAGTCATTAATAATATCATTAATTAGCTCTATAATTTAACCACGCCTTGTCTGATTACATGTAATGTAACGGTGTCTATTCTATGCATGGAAATCTCTTTCATACTTCCTCTAAGGTTTGCATAATATTTCACGAGCTGTTTTTCAGGGTCTTTAGCGGTCTGTCCCAGTACAGCTAGTGCTAGTTCTATAATCCTCGAGGAGTCAACAGTACCGGTCTCTTCTGTATCTGCCTGACGAAAGACCTTGGCAATAACTGTGTAAAGAGAAATGGAAAGGGAGAGCCCTTATAGTTACACATAATATATAATTTATATGTACATGCAGCCACACGCCGGCTTATAACGGAACATATATCTCTCTTTACAGTACACACACATTCTTCTTACCATCGTACTGATTCTGTGTAAGGATTGAGCCACTAGCCATTATGGATCCCTCGATGTCTTCCTAGCGGTTTACTTCTCTCCCGCTCCCTTAAGAACGATACCGTATTTACTCTAACAGCATAATTGACGTTCTTTCTAATTTAAGGAAATTCCTTTCGATATTATTATTATTATTATTATTGACGTTATTTTTATTAAAGACTTTTAATTTTAATTAGCGGGAAAACATGGAGGCTCTGGATTTCAAATCCCTACCTTTTCCGGTAAGAAAAACCACTCTGTTTTCTTTTTACACCTTATATTCAATAGGTTTTGGACTTACAGCGTCCTGAGCTTCTAAAATGCAAAGAATTAGCTATTCAAAAAGAGAGAGACCTGGCAGTGAAAAGAAGAGAGAATGCAGAGTCCCTGAACAATTATATTGCTCATAGATTAGGGAATGTGGGGAAATCTAAGAAAAATATTTTAACATTTTCCCAGTACAAAACTCAAATTGAAAATGCGAGGAAGACGTGTCACACTTTGCCACCTGGTGATGGTTGCCAGGGTAACGCAAGAGAATGCAAAAGTGAGGGGGGAAGAGAAAATAGTCATTATCAGAAAACTAAGTCTCATTGGCCTGGAAATGAACCTGTAACTGAGAGCAATGGAATCCATCATCGTTCTCCCAACTCCTCTCCTCCCAGACGTTTCTCTCATTCTCCTGATAAAAGAATAGAGCAGCATGTCTATCTTCAAAAGCTTTCAAGGAAGATACAGAAAGTAAGATGCAACAACGAAATTAGTGGGTTGCCTGGGTTTTAAAATGATCATGATTAATAATTTTTAATAGGGCAAAGTAATAATTGGAGGCCTTGTGAGAGGATACTTAACAAGGAGGCTATTGAGGTCAGAGAAAGTTCAAGACATCATTAGAATGATAAAAGTAACAGAATAGTCTCTACCGCTTTGATTGTACTTGTATTATATATAGGATACGAAAGAAGTCCTGGAGACTCTGAAAAACCCTGCTAATGCTAGCGAATTTGAGCTTCTCCAAAGAACAAGGCTTCAAGTAAGCCGTAATTAAGGAAGAAAGTGACTGATACTTTGTATTTTTTTTCTTCTTCAATGAACAGATCCAGGCAGCAAAACAATCTCTTTACAAGATATTCTTTGTAGTTACAACATCTGAAAGAATGGAGTACATTGCTCAGTCTAGACAACGAAGAATGGAGAAAAGATTTGGACATGTGAAAGAGGTATTTATATTATTTTGTACGATGTACTACTTTTCAGTGATGAAAAATTTATAGAGAAACAAGCTACATCAATTCTCATCAGCCACATTGAAGACACTGGAGAGGAAGCAATCAAACACTGGAGCAGCTACAAAGAAACAGAAACATACAGTTCATTTTGAAAATACTGCTTCTCTTTTGGTTAATGGCGAGGCTACACAAGACAGACACACAGCTCAACACTCTTCCAACACTGCAGCCAATATTCTCAGGAGCATTACTAAAAATGACCCTGATGCTATTAACTTTATTAAAAGTACACGTAGACAGACCAGCCCTAATATCACTTCGCCTATTCAAGTTTCTTCTACTAGCAAAACTAATAAAGCTAGAAGAGCATCTTATACTGCAACTGATCTTATTTCTGATGATGTTGCTGAAAGAGCACAAAGACTCATAAGTCCTCTTCAGGTGCCTTTAGATGCACACAATAATACAATTCCTCCAACTAACAGAGCTAGAAGAGGTACTTTTGCTGCAGCTGACATCCACAAGGATAGTCCTCCTGATTTTGCTAAATTGAGGACACGTAGACAGACAAGCCCTAATGTCACTGTACCTCTTCCAATTTCTGCAGATAATTCAAATCAACGCTCTTCTCCAAGTACTAGAGCTAGAAGAAGTACTTTTGCTGCAGCTGATATCCACAAGGATATTAGTGGAGATAGTCCTCCTGATTTTGCTAAATTGAGGACACGTAGACAGACAAGCCCTAATGTCACTGTACCTCTTCCAATTTCTACAGATGATTCAAATCAACGCTCTTCTCTAACCAATAGAGCTAGAAGAAGTACTTTTGCTGCAGCTGATATCCACAAGGATATTAGTGGAGATAGTCCTCCTGATTTTGCTAAATTGAGGACACGTAGACAGACAAGTCCTAATATCACTGTACCTCTTCCAATTTCTGCAGATGATTCAAATCAACGCTCTTCTCCTCCAACTAATAGAGCTAGAAGAAGTACTTTTGCTACAGCTGATATCCACAAGGATATTAGTGGAGATAGTCCTCCTGATTTTGCTAAATTGAGGACACGTAGACAGACAAGTCCTAATATCACTGTACCTCTTCCAATTTCTACAGATGATTCAAATCAACGCTCTTCTCCTCCAACTAATAGAGCTAGAAGAAGTACTTTTGCTACAGCTGATATCCACAAGGATATTAGTGGAGATAGTCCTCCTGATTTTGCTAAATTGAGGACACATAGACAGACAAGTCCTAATATCACTGTACCTCTTCCAATTTCTGCAGATGATTCAAATCAACGCTTTTCTCCAACTAATAGAGCTAGAAGAAGTACTTTTACTGCAGCTGATATTCAGAAGGATATTAGTGGAGATAGTCCTCCTAATTTTGCTAAATTGAGGACACGTAGACAGACAAGTCCTAATATCACTATGCCTCTAGATCTTCAATTTAACCAAAATAGAAATAATACACAAGCTAGAAGAGCTACCCACACTGCTGATGAGCTCATGAGATCAGTCCTTGGAAATGTACCTAGCAATAACAGTGCTAACCTTACTGGAACTAAACGTAGTCGTAGAGGAACAATCAGTATTGCTAGTAGTCTTTCTGCTATTAGTGAGAACAGTCCATATAATCGCAAACCTGCAGTCAGTTCCTCTGTCGCTGTCAGTACTAGTACAGGAGCTTCTGATGACTCGTATAATAGATCAAGCAGCAGTAAACCAAGGAGCATGTTTAGAAGTTACAGAGCATTTTCTAATCAGTCTGGTTCAAAGAATCACACCTCATCTGATGTTACCTCTAGCTCAGGAAAAGTTCAAGTTTTGACTGGAGTGGCAGCAAAGAAGGCTAGAGGAAGAGAGAACAGGTTCTTTTCTCTATTTTCCAGGAAACGCAGTAAAGCATCCTACCCTAAGCCTAGTAGAGCTAGTTCCAACTTAGCAACATAACCCGACAACTGAAGTCACATTATAATATACATGCATATACATTGTAGGTATTTATCATTAAGTATTCATCATGTATATATCATCATTTTAGAATCTCTATATATAGCATGTTATTGTTTCTTTGGTTGATTATAAAAACAGAGTATTTGACATCTCAGTCCAAGGTGCTAATTCAGGTAATAGTAACACTGAAGACCACAAGTTTAAAGCTAAATAATAATACTTTGGCCCAAACCACAGTAAAATTACAGTTGTAGGAAATAAATAATAAGTGAGAGACAATATTACAATAATTATTATTATCTCAATAGTCATTATCTTTATTAAAATTACTCACAAACAAAAACAAAAAAAAATAAAAGAGAATTTTGATTTCTTGTAATGAATAAATTATTAATCTTTTTTTAAATACAGTTGTAGCTTGTTTGAACGGATGAGTGGTTTGACTTCAGAGCTGGCTGTATGACGGATTGTGAAGAAGAGGAGAAGAAGGAGGAATATTCTGAGGAATGGGGCTCTGACTTGTGGGTGGGGCCAACTAGAAATAAAAATAATCGACTTCTATGATAATAATGACAGGGGCTTACCCGTAGTTCAGTAAAATAATGAGGAATGTGAAGATGAAACTCTCCGTGTTCTACAATAAGGTAACCTCTTTTTTGACTTCTCCCAAGAACAAACACTTGATCCCCTGGATAAAGAGAAGCCTGACCGTTTTCTATAGAGAAAGAAAAAAAAACAGTAAGTACATGTATATGTACATATGTACGGAGTTTCAGCCAAAGGATTGTTTACAGCAAAGTTCAAGGGGGCAGGCAGGAGAATAGAAACACTACAAATTTTAATACTCCCCGCTATACGTGGAAATTTTAGAGGGGATAAATTTTCGCAAATGATAAATTTGCAGGATTTCACGAGGCTGAATTTTCGTAAAGTGCCACGATTTTGTAAGATTTTGGAGAGTTAAAATTAATTAATGACCATTCAAAATTGCAGCAATACCGTAATAAATTCTAATTATACATAAACCAACGTTCTAAGATGAAATGTTCACATGTTTTAATCTCGCAAATGACCCCTCGTTTCACAAAATTTGCGACAATTTATCCCCTTGAAAATTTCCACACATAGGATTATGTATCTTGCCTGGATATTTAAACTTCATTACTCTCCATTGAGGGAATGCAATCTTATAGTTCCCAACAATAGTGTAATTGCGTGAGCTGACACCAACAGAAGATACAATTGGTACTGGAGCTACCGGCGGTAGACCATTCCTCTGTCTGTCAGGAATTGGGGGAGGAGGAGGCGAGGGTGATAGATCCCTCTCACTATAAAAGGAGAGAGAGAGAGAGAGAGAGAGAGAGAGAGGAGGGGAGCATAAAAATGAGAAGAAGACTAATCTTACAGTCTGGGGGTGAGAGGCGACGAGTTAATGCTAGCTCGTTGATATCTGTTGAAGAGATTCGAGCGAATGAATCTCTGTATCTTAATGGCCGATCTGGCTCTCATCTGTTGCCTTAGCTTTTCTAAATGTTGTCTCAGCTCATCCCTAGAATTAATACATAAACACGCATACATGATTTAAAATAGTACATCATTAGACAGTAGAGTAGATAATGAATAGCCCATTTCTTTGTACTTACATTAGGAAAACTTTAGTCTGTCCCAGTGCCCACATGTCTTCAGTGATGGACTCATTTTGTAATATGTAAGCAAAAGCAGTTAACAGATCCTATTAGTACAGTAGTGATTAATAGTTTTAACATAATAATAATACTTCAGTCATCTCGTGCCATTTGCTGCGTAGTCTCGTCAAAGCTTTTGGAGCTATCATCTGATACCGTCTTACAAACTCCTTGTAGATCATGCTATGATAATAACCTGCAGGAGAGAAGAGCTATAATCTTCATTCCTATGATCAGATAATTTTCATTCCAAATCCTTAAATTCCCAGACTACATACAATACATGTACATGCACATACATGTAGCTGTTTCTCATTCTCTCATTTTCCATTCCCATGTCCTCACATTCCCATACTGTACCTCCTTGTATGAGATCCACGGTCTCAAATATTGCCATATCTTTAATCTGCTGGCCGACGACTTCACGATCAAAGTGACCAGGGGTCTGAGAACTATTGGACTAAAAATAAAGAAATAAGGGTCCGATACATATAAAATATAAAAATCAAGGGATCCAAGTGAATCAATCAGAGAAGAATCAACATACCTTGATACACCTGATAAAATATGGTTTAGTTTTCTTTAACACGCTCAATACATCGTCCAAATGAGCCTATATACATGTACATGTACATGTAAGATTGACAATAAAAAATACATGTACATGTACATGTACAAAGTAACGTTGACAATAATAACAACAGAAGTACATGTGTACATGGACGTACTTGAAAGTCTTGTACAAAGGCAGAAGGCTGTCTTGAGTCCATTTGACTAAAAAGAGAAGAAATATAATGGACAGCTAGTACACATGTACATGTACACATGTACAAATGTACATGTACACATGTACAAATGTACATGTACAAGTTTTTAAACTAACCTAGAATGTTGCAATGAACTTGGAGTGATTCGACTCATTTGGCCTTTAGGACTCCCATCAGCTAAAAGAGACAAAGTAACATGGAGAGAGAGAGAGAGAGAGAGAGAGAGAGAGAGAGAGATAAAGTAAAAGAGAGGATCATCATGTTAGGAAAACAATGCACATACATAGTAAATCTTTGCTCTCTGATGCAAAAAGATGAGCAACGAAACCAAACTTGCAATCCTGTGAAAACAAGACGATAAAATTACATTAAGCAATTAATATTACATGAATTACTATTGTTATCTACACAGGATTAACTATAACTTTAAAAATTCATAAAAAATCTAAATTTGATCAGAACCAGCTCAAACTTTCTACGCAACATAAGTACATGTATATGTATCAGAAAAAATTATTAAAATGAAAAATTCTTGTCTTTACATTTTTGGTGAAATTTGGCCAAAATCCCTGTACTATATATAGTACAGGGACTTTGGCCCAATTTTAGAGTAACTTTAAAATTCTGTAAAAAATCTAAATTTGATCAGAATCAGCTCAAACTTTCTACGCAACATAAGTACATGTATATGTATCAGAAAAAATTATTAAAATAGAAAATTCTCATCTTTACATTTTTGGCAAAATTTGGCCAAATTCCCTGTACTATAGTACAGGGACTTTGGCCTGATTTTAGAGTAACTTTAAAATTCCATAAAAAATCCAAATTTGATCAGAATCAGCTCAAACTTTCTACGCAACATAAGTACATGTATATGTATCAGATAAAATTATTAGAATGGAAAATTCTCATCTTTACATTTTTGGCGAAATTTGGCCAAATTCCCTGTACTAGGTATAGCAAGGCTGCAAAAGTCATGGCAGCCATTTTGTTTGGGGGTGAATCCTACTTAGTAACGCTACTGCGTTACTAATAGTACAGGGACTTTGGCCCGATTTTAGAGTAACTTTAAAATTCCATAAAAAAATTCAAATTTGATCAGAATTAGCTCAAACTTTCTACGCAACATAAGTACATGTATATGCATCAGAAAAAATTATAAAAATGGAGACTTCTCAAATTTTAATTTTTGATGAAATATCCTAGCTCTACTATAGATACACGTGTATACATACTCGTTGTCAAATCAAAGAATAAAAATGTCTGCTATTTGGAGGGTTCCATTTAATACTATAGGGTGCTTTTCTTAGGGCTATATATTTCACGGGTTTTGTTACTATTCGTGAAAATAAATTCCTCAAATTAATTGTTTATGGGTACAGAAAATTCAAATTTGGGATAAAATCACAAAATTTAATACAGCAAATTATACATCCTCTAAATCTATAGCCCTCGGAAAAAAGGTGCCCTAGAGTGTAGGGAATTACAATACTCACTTTAGTAGAGAAAACAGCAACAATGTCATCAGCGAGTGAGTCTGCATTAGCATTGAGTATATTGTAAGTGTCGTATGAGACCTATCGAAAGAGAAAGCGCGTGAAGTAAGAGAGGCTTATCTCAAGAGTAAAGAACAGATATGTTATATTCACCTCTCCACAGTAGTGTTTGATAGCAAACAATGAAGAAGAGCCAGCACAAGGAGTGAAGCAGTTATAATGACCAAACTTCTGCCTCATCCTAACCCGCACATCTTCTGATGTGACACTAAGAAAGAAAATTTAATAGGAGGAAGGGAGAGAGGGAGAGAGGGAGAGAAAGAGAGGGAGGGAGAGAGAGAGAGTTGGTTGCTCACAGTGGTGAGACTGTCTCTTGATTCAGCTCCTTTAATATACCACTATTCTGTAAAGGATAAATATTAATAATAACAAATACTACATCCATGCATTATCAGTTCTTACATTGTTCCCTATCACTTCAATGCAAGGAAAACAATCATGGACATCTTTCTCAAACAAAGGATCAACATTTTCCTTCCTTTAGAAAAGAAAGAGAGGGAGAAAGAATAAAAATATTTTTAATAAGATAATAGCAAGTACACATATTATAGTAAGAGAGAGAGAGCTGTGCTATTTACTTGCAGTTATTCAGTGTGTCGTGAAACACAGTCTGCATGTAAAAGTGCTGGAGTTTCTCTGATGTCCAGTTGATGCAGAGCTGCTCCAAAGAGTTGCTCTCGTTTCTCTCGAAACCGAACAAATCCAAAATACTCACGACATTCTAAAACAATCAAAAGAATGAGGGCAAGTTCGGAAGAGAATTCGCAATATTACAACAATGCCAAACAAAATTACATCTGCAATGTACTACATGTACATGCATTATTACATGTATATTTTTCATAGCTACGCCAATAGTTACAACTAATAGAGCTACTTCAATATATATCAATATATTAATATACAGTAATAATATAATATTAAATTGTCAAGTATAGTTTGACTAAATCTCTCATACTTCGACTTGAGATGAAGACTGAGAGGACTCAGAGAGCTGATGTGAGAACCGGCTGCCGTTTCTGAGCGGTTTCTGAGGAGAGTGAGCACCTGCTCCCTTCAATAGAGTATTAATGCGCCTCATTATTGCAACTGATGTACGTATGTACAGGGACTTAGCTAATGCATCTCTGGCACTGTTAGCCTGAGGAAAGAGAGAGAGAGAGGGGGGAGAGAGGGAGAGAGGGGGAGGGAGGGAGAGAGAGAGGGGGGAGAGGGAGAGAGAGAGGGAGAGAGAGAGAGGGAGAGAGAGGGAGGGAGAGAGAGGGAGAGGGAGGGAGGGAGAGAGAGGGAGAGGGAGGGAGGGAGGGAGAGAGAGTTGTAGAAAAGGACATGAAACATTTAAAGTTGGTATCTTCCCTACCCCAGCAGCAGAGCAGTTTGATTTGACGGCCCCGTGATGAGAGAGGTAAGTACGCTGGGTGAGCCCTTTCTGAAGAACGTGATGATGGACACCCAATAAACCAGCAATGGTCTTCAACTCTAAGAGAGAAGAGAGGGAAATTACAACAAATAAAAACAATTGTAAATGAAGCAGTTTATGTACATGGAGCTACGTGTAGGCGCATATTAAGATTGCATTCATATTTACACAGTTAGCAGTTCAAATGTATTAATTGGTAATTAGACACGCACTAGGAGGTATAACCTCCTGCACTAGAACATGCAGCTATCAACCACCAAGCAGGTGACTATTATCAAGGACAAAATCCATAAAACCTAAACAATTGGCAATTATGTAGCAAAGTTGATAGCCAGCCGGGAGCTCACTTAGCAATAAAAACAGATAAAGATAAGAGAGTCTAAAAATGCCTCAGGAGATAGACAACTAGGAACCAGGAGGAATAGACCATGATAAGGAATCTACAGTAATTTTAAATGTACATGTACATGTACAAGGAGGCTTATACAAGTAATTCTCAAATAAAACAAGACAAAAGTAAACTGGATATGAATGTATATACACAGAATGTATTAGAAATGAGTTATTTTTTGTACACAAGATAATCTTAAATTGTAGTTTTATATATATATATATAGGTCAACCTCCACACAAGACTAAAATAAGGACACTTCTATAATCAGGAGAGGTAGGGTAGTAGCAGTCTCAATACAATGTGCATTAATGAACTTTTGAAATAAGGACACTTCTATAATGAGGAAGGTGTCATTACTGTAGTGTTATCCCTATCTCTACTTCATGCACAACAATGTACTGTAGTACATGTACTCACCATCGATGCCTTGAACAGAGAGCTCTTGGTTCTTGGCTTCATAGAACAATATATTACCGAGGAGCAAAATGGCGACAAGGACCTTCATGACATCATGGAGAGGTATACCTAATTGAGCCAGACTCGACTACCAAGGAAAAAATTTAAAAAAAATATTACAAATGAAATAAATTCGCGCGACATAAAATATGTTTGCATTGCGACAAATCAATTACTCGTTACTATAATTGCAATAATTATGCAAACTCATTATTAGCAAAGCATACAGCCTAGTACTCCACTATTACATAACAATTATGTATTAAGCATAATCAATTACAAATTATTAGAGTTTATTATGACAGTAAATAATCATTTATTACACAGCCAGACAGAAAATCAAATTTCAAATTGAATTTTAAACCATTCAAAAGGCAGGGTGCATTTACATGTACAAAATTCAAATGCCACCACCCTGTCTCAATCACAACACATTAATACATATCCCAGTCTGTGTGTTCTATGTACCAAGTGTCAATAGTTGTTGATAAGATAAATGGAAGTTCAATTCAAAAAACTAAAAGCAGCTGCTGATCGTTTTAAGTAAAGCATTACTGTACACCTATCACATTAATAGCATAATATCTATCACATTAATAGCATTTAAACTATGTGTACATGTATATCATTGTACACACGCTCCTAATGCTTAATAGTTGTGAAGGTATGCATGAGGAAAGAGGGAGAGAAGATACAGGCCATTAATTACTACATGTGCATGTACAGTTAGTACAGAGTGTGTACTATACTACAAATAACTGACATTCAGAAGCTATGAAATAAGTGAGAGAGAGAGAGAGAGAGGGGAGAGAGAGAGAGAGAGAGAGAGAAAGAGAGAGAGAGAGAGAGGAGGTAGAACTACCCTACACCTTACAGCATTAACACAAAATACAGCTGTACACATGTATTAATAATGTTAAAGGATTACCATACAAACTGTAAGTGTGCTATTATTTTTATTATTATTATAAAGAAAGACAAAAATACAATACATCACAACACACAGACATACAAAATAAAATACACTAAGGACAAAACAAAAAATAAGAGAAACCAAACATAAAAAGACAAAAGATAAAACAAAGGACAAGAAAGAAAGAAAGTCAGCATGCACTGGCCATCCAAAACAGATGGGATGGTAGGAAGGCGACCAAGCCACATTTGGGCACTATTATTATTATTATTATTATTGTTATTATTATTATTATTATCATTATTATTATTATTATTATTATTATTATGGAAATGAATTACCTTCCATGCCTCAAAGTGATTCTGTAGTTGCTGTGGGCTGTCAGGAGGATCAGCCGCTTGAGAGAGATAGTGCAAGGAGCGACTATCAACATGATGGAAATGAAACTTGCCTTGAAAAAGAAGGGTAAGAGTAAATACATACATGTACAATGTAGTAATAATGGTGGTGGGGATGGGTATAAATGTAAAAGAGAAAACAAAACGGGTTCAAAAAAACAAAGATAAAAGGACTCTCTCTCTCCTAAAATGATATTGGATATCCTCCAGTACAGAATGAGAATTTGTTATCAACAATCCTCTTAGCCACAATGTGCAAACAAAGACAAGGGGAGATCAAATCACTCCTTTCCCACCCTCTCCCATAACCATAGTGATCACTGCTCCTCATTAAATTAAGAATCACCAAGAGAGAAGAGGAGCAACAAGAGACTACGATAATTGACATATTTAAAATTATTCAACCTTCCCTAAGCATCAGATCAAGAGAGCATAAGTACACCAGATTACTATGAATTAAGCTATTGATTAATAGCAAGGAGTAAAGGAAAAGCAATATTTCAAATAGCCTCACACACGCAGCTGTCACTTAGGCCACTCCAGCACAGAGGAGCTGTGTATGAGTGTGGGAGACCGGGAGTACATGTACATGTACATTGATAAGTACATGAGTACAATGTGTACACTCACTTCTCTCCTCGGAGGTTAGTCCGGCAAGGATTTGATAGAATATGTGATAATTCTGCTCATTTTGAGGAGGATTAACTAGCCTTGTCTATAAAGAGAGAGAGAGAGAGGGAGAGAGAGAGAGAGAGAGGGAGAGAGAGAGGGAGAGAGAGAGAAAGAGATCAAAGTGGTATCACTACAATATCTATGACATGACCTCAAGAGTGTCTCAAACTATTTCATTCCTTGATACGAACACCTCATACTACAACCATACCTCATCATGAACCCACACGAGAACAAGCAACAAAAAGTGAAGTACAAACAAAGGAATAGAATGCAAAGCAAAACAAGAGGAACTAATGCAACAAACAGTCCCTAGCCTGGTGTGTTGACAAATATAAGAACTTTGTGGCAATACAAATAGTCCATTATACAAAGAGAAGCTGATGAATACACGATTGGACTGGCAATCATTCATTCGCACACACAAACATCAATAATAACACTTTTGGAAAATACTACAAAGACACACGCATGCTATATGGCATACGAGGCACATTATTATTATTATTATATACATGTAGAGCGTTATTTACTCACTCACGTATGTGCGTAATAGCATGCACTAAGACACACATGCACAAACAAACACACATGCAACATAGACATACCATCATCCACCTGTCAATTAGTAGATCACAGGAAGAAATTTATAGTCAAAATTTAGACACACACACACACACACAGAGATGTACTTATATATTCAAAGGTTTGATTATAGTAGAGGTAGATGTAGTTTGTAACTAAGATAACTACTTACTTGGTCCAGAAAATAACAGTTTACTTTCAAACGAGTTATCTGCATTCCTTGGTAATGAAACTCAACCAATCGACCCTGTAATATATTTATAGTGATAACTCTCCAAGCGTGCAATGTGTGTGTGCATAAATGTCACTTGTGGGCGTGTCGCAAAATAACGATCCATTAATAATATTAATAAAGGAATTATTATTGTTCTTACTATTCTGCTAGCATCTTTGTTAGCTTGAGTACCAGCAGTACCTAGTGCCTTTAATACGACCGATGATACCTGCCAATACTAGAAAACACGAGAGAGAGAGATAAAATAATTATTTAATAAAGACACAGTCATGGTACATATGTACAAAGTACTGTAGTACCTTCCTGATATCTTGCAGCCAGTCTGACTTCATTGAATTTGAAAACATCTTCACAATGAGCCTGTCCGCTGTGAATGACTTGCCACTCCCACTCATACCACTAGAGGAGGTCGAGAGAAAAGAGGAAGGAAGTATCAATATCTTACTCACTCGTTTCATTTACATGTACATGTTATACGTGTGACAATACATGCATGACGTCACAAATTGGCAAAGAAAAAAAACAACACCAATTACTCATAACCCTGTACTAATTACATACGCATACATTTTAATGAAAAATAACAAATTATTTAGCAAAATATCTACACGCATGGGAAAAAGGAAACGAATTATAAAATACATTAACTACATTTAGCATGCAAATAATTGTATTCATTACACAATAACAATATGAATGCCCTTACCTGAATATGATGGAGCGGGATCTTCTGCTCTGTGATAATTCTTCGAGTACTTTCTCTCCCACACTTTGTAGTGTAGCCATCATGCTTGAGCTAGGATTCTCAAATGCATTGACACACAGTAATATGGGACCAATCCAAGTCTAGAAGATATATATATATGTATATATATAGTGAAGGCATAAAATGACACACACACATATTGGTATAATACAGTACATTATATATAACACAAAGGAATGGATTTTTACATAGCATCTTCCTTCCATAAAATTCTCGTGGAGTTGTCTGATGATGGCCTCTTGCGTTAGTGGGCCAGAAAGTCGAATGAGGTCCTCGCTGCTGGTACCAATGGAGCCCACAGGGGGTGTACTGGTTGAGGATGAGGCGTTCTTTAGCGCCATAGCCTTTTCTCTTCTTCTCACTCCTAAAGTTCACACACTGAACCGTTCTAATTAATGCACACCTCAAAGCCACATGTAGCCCCTCCCCTTTTTATGTAGAGGCAATTATAATTATAGATCTATAAGATAGCTTCTTTCTACAGCTCTCCTCCTTTTCTTTCGTATTCCAATCTCTCTATCTCAGTATCCCAAACACACAGTGAGTTTTTCTCTTTGCATGATTTATAATTATATTCATAGCTCAAAAATCAATTATAATCATTAATAATTAATTGATTATAATTATAATTAATCTTTCTAAAAAAATTCATATTGCACTCAGATCTGCTAACATTCATTACTGCATAGTGAGGCTGTTGCAGGATGATCTGTGGTTTCTAATTATGATAGCAACAGCTTCATTTATGAAATTTTGCAAACAATATGGCTAGCTTTGATTATTAATAACAATAATAATAATGATAATCATAATTTTGTGATATTATATAGTAATATATGCAAAAAGCACTAAAATACAGAGCAGTGATTACACAAAATGGGTAATGGCAAGAGGGAAGCAAGAGTCATAGAAAATATAGCATAGGATAAAGCATGAGGGTTTTAAACTCAACCAAGGAGTCACAGAGGATGAGGAGGGTATAGAAGGAGAATGAAAGAGAATATAGTATCTATAATAAATCTCCTGATTTTATAAACAGCAGTGTATAGGCGATGTCCGAGGATGACGGTGCAATATTAAAAACTATGACAATAAACTTGCTATGGAGAAGCGTTTGCAGCGATCGCTCAATGGAGACGTGGGGGTAGTGACCGGCCCTCCGGTTTCACTGAAGACAAAATCGTTTGGACTACAAGGAGGGGTAAGTAGACTTGCATTTGAGGACGTGGGTGAGTTCTCAATGGGACTAGGAAGACTGGAGTCCTCTCCTTCACTATATGCACTACCTGTTGAAGAGGGTCTCTTGGAACTAATGTCACTCTCTGCTTCTCCATCTGCAGATTCCTCTCTAGTACTGCTTGTTCTTCTCCTGTTTCTTCTTCTCCTGTTGAGCTTGACGCATAGCTCGGGGCTGGCGTCCATAAACTCAGGAGCGAGTGTCCAGTAGTTGCCTTTGCCTGGCGGGTCTTCTTTCTCTCTTGCAACCTTCACAAAGCACTCGTTTAACGAGAGGTTGTGCCTTATGGAGTTCTGCCAGCCTCGCCTGTTCTCCCTGTAAAAGGGAAACTTGTCCATTATGAATGTGTAAATCTCGTTTAGGGTGAGCTTCTTTCTAGGAGATCCTTTGATGGCCATTGAGATGAGAGTGATGTAAGAGAAAGGAGGTCTTTGATGGACCTCTAGCACTCTCTGCTGTCCGTCGCATACAACTCTAGCTAAAATGGAGAGCGCAGCAGAGCTGGAGTTGTCGATGGTGCTCAGAAGTGGTGGAGGAGGAGGAGGTCTGTTAGTGTACTCTAGTCCTGCTGCAAGCCCCAGTGGAAGATGATGATGGTGAGGCGTTAAAGGAGGCACTGGGTGCAGTAGATACTGCGCTGGTTGCTGTGCAGGGACAGGAGCGTACATTTTGCTATGGTTCAAGGCTAACTGCATGACTAGTTCACTGGAGGCACTGCTCGAAGATCATGTAGTCTAATTCCGTCACAAGATTGCAAGCTGGGCCTCTCTCTAGCTATTTTATATCCTCCAGAGTGTTTATTTTTAAGAAACTAGTCCGCCTATATCCTGTGCATTCCTAGCAATGTGTGGCCTTATGGGTGACCACACACACACACACATTACAACTATACATTCTCTTTGATCTCTGTAATTGCGTGGGAGGGCTCGTCGCTCGGATGCAAGCTATATTCACAGCAAGTTGCTGTCCTGTTTGTTATGTACAAACATAGAGCGGGCGTTTTGGTATATCCCATTTGGAACACACACACATGCCTGCTTTGTCATTATCTCTTGTTCTTTCTTCATAGGGAACGAGCATTTTTAACATGGCCAGCGGAGAAAACGAAACTCACCTGTAAGCTGCTACACGCATGCATATTTGCACACATACTCTTCTTCCCAACCTTCATTCCTCCTTGTACACAATAATTTAATGACAATAGCTAAGCTAACCATGCCAATATTAATGTCATACCACTATGAGGCATTTATTCTATTTCTGTAGTGTTTTCAATTTAGAAGGAGCACTACCTGCTAAAATGGGACAAAAGTCTCTAAATGTTGGAGGGACAAAGGACGAAGAAGAAAGACTCTCCTCTTTTCTCACAGGATATCAGTTCTTGCTGTCTAAAGAAAGACAAACATCGAAGTTAGTTATCAGCGAGGCGCTCTAGAGAGACAAGGAGGAGGGGGAGGGTGGGGGAGGCAGGTGGCGGAGAATGTAAATAAATCTAATTCCATTGTCTTCATCACTAACCTATCATCTATAGCTATAATAATAAATAATAATAATAGTGGATTATTAGCCCCTTCTCATAGTACAAGAGGTAGACGAGGGGGATGGAGGTATAGGAGGAGAAGAATGTAAATAAATTTCTTCGCTTTCTCCCTATCTCTTTCCTCCTACTCTCCTCCTGTTATGCCATCCCCAGTGTTATGTGTAGACACTACAAATACTATGCACACAATCCTAAAATTCAATTAATGATAAACGCCATTTATCCTAGCTCTGTTTGTTATAAGGCACATAGCAGGGATGATTGGGATTTTATTGTCTCATATAAACATTACAACTAAACCAAAACTTTGAAAATGAGATTGTACACAGATCCAGCTACGTCAGGGGGTCAGTTGTCAAATAGACTTTCTTTCCAGTAAACCGATACCACAAACAAAACACAATAGCAGACAACATCATTTAAAAATACAATAATAGTAGTAATAATAATGATAATTATACATTAATGTTCCATAATAATAATAATAATAATTTTAATAATGACAACAACAATAATAATAATGATAATGACAAGCATTCCAAGAGTAGTATTGTAAACATTGAAATGGTGATTTAAGAGAGGAAGAGAAATAAGAGACAGGGTGGCAGACACATTTAAACATAAACACGAGTATATAGGCATGGATATAGCTTCTATCATTTAAAACTAATAATAGCAATGGGATGTAAATATAATAAAGAACAAGTAGTACTAGAAAGCAAATGTGTATTAATGCCCTTTGCCCACTTGTAGCAGGCTGACTCTGGCTGCACGAGCCAAATCTAAATAATATAAATGAGTGTAAGCCTCAAGGGAGAACCTGATAAAGGGTAGGTATGACTTGTTAATCCTATTAGACAAACCAACAGACATTTCCAATGAAATACCAGCTAAACTCTCTTTCCCTCACTCCCTCTGCCTCTTGTACCACAGCTGGTATCCAGCAACTAATCTTGCACGGGCGAGTCACCATCGCGTATAACACGCATTTTAATTATTTCTTTTATAATGATTGTACAGGAGAAATGTGTCAGTGGCTGAGTATTGTAGTCAAGAAAGTGGAAAATTGCTGCTTAAAGTTAAGAAGGTAAACAAAATTTATACTTATTGATTACTTGAAAGAGAGAGAGAGAGAGAGAATTAAAGGCGATTGAGAGAGAGAGGGAAAAGGAAAAAAGAGAGATTATATTCATCTCATTGAACTATTCATTGCGTGGATGTGCCATATGACCCAATACTAATGGGATGGGATATCCAAATATTTGCCTCAAACTCATTCACACATTATCTCATAAACACATAAACAAATTCACACATGATGTCTACAACTTGTGAGGTATACTGCACACACACACACACAGAGACACACACAGACACACACACATGTACATACTTGTATGTAATAAATGGCCCTCTTTTTTCCTTACTATTCTACCCCTTGTTGTTTTCAATATCAGTGGTTAGTCTATGAAACAAAATATCGACCAACTCAATGACTGCATTCAGTGCATGTTTATCCATGTGGCTAGTAACCTGAAAGGATTGTTGATCTATTGCTCTTCTATGTTATGTTTCAATCTCATCCTTATATCCTGTAATAGTAGCAATGAATACAGTCAACACGTATACATGTACATGTATATATACCACAGAGAGAGAGAGAGTCATTACTTACTAGTGTATAATATTATACTTGTGTCAGTGTGTGTATATGCTGTGTTGTAGCTAGTATATTATAAATCTTCCATTATTATGATAATAATGGACCTATATATCTGCAATTCATTGGAAAATTGTGTCAACTAGCTTTATAATAGTGAAATTACTATCCATTGAAACACCCAGTCTGTGGGTTAGAGGATTGAAAGGGACAGTGGCTGGGTAGGGCACCTTTACAAAGTTTATGTATAATACACAAATTAATGGGAAGCTGCTGCTACACACACTCTAGGGAGGACACTGGAATTATTATGGCCACACTGAAAAAAGTCAGACCTACCTATACCCAGAAGAGGCCCTCTACTTACAAGAATGTGTGAGTGGTTTATTCCCCTTTCCTCCCTATCCTCTTTCCACCCCCACTTATGTGGTGTTTGTCAGTCTATGTTTCTATAGGGAGTAATGGAGATTGTTTCAACTGGAGGCGGTCCTTGGACAATTCAAAAGGTGGGCCTGTCTGATAAGAGAGTGTCAGAGTGTTGCCCTCTGTTTATAGCAAAGACAACTATTACATATTTAACAAAGCAACCACATCTCACACAATTAAATATCCCAACCACACTGAATCACACTAAGGTCTCCAGTGAATCCACTGGACTGTGTCCATGTGCAACTAAATGTACATGTACATAACTGATGATGATGAGTGTAATATATTGGACTCATTTAGATATCATACTGCATTACCTTCTATTGTTACTATTATGAACACTAAATGGTATCGGGTTGCATTATCACATGTCATTTGCATTGTAGTAAGCACATTAATACCTGTACATCTACATAAACTGGACCCATTTTGTGTTTATAAGCTATAATAATGAGAGCTTAACCAGAGAGTCAATATGTATGAATCTATATTATAATAATATAGTTTATATCATGCTTATGAGACAAGAGGGGGCTATGTGTGATTGTATGCATTCACATACAAAGAATTCTCCATTGTTATTATAAGAGGTTTACCAACTCTTTGGCAAAATGAAACTTAAAAAAACTGCCACAAGTTTATATTTCAGCATGACAACATTGCAAGATAATGTACTCTCTCATTTAAATGTATAGGCATACCACACATTTCTGAGAGGCAACAAGTCCCAGCTGCAATATTACCAGGTGAACACGTCTTTAAAAATAATACTAGCCACCTAAAATATACATTCTTTCAATGTCTATAAACAAATATTGTAGGTTTATGCTGATTTGAAGAGGTCCGGTTACATTGTGCAAAGACCAACAGTGTGAGTTTATCATGAATTCAAGTACACATCTTGCCTGCACGTGTGAGTGATTCTATGTTATTTTGGGACATTTCATACGTGTACGTGTATTTGTTGCGTAGCAGATTTAAATCAAAATTTTTAATTTATAAAGTTGCTCAAAAATTTGGCAAAAGACCCTGTGCTATATAGTACAGGGTCTTGGGCTGATTTTCATCAAAAATGACTTGGAGAGAATTCTCAATTTTTATTATCTATGAGTTTACATACATATTATGAGTTTGTGGATAAAGTTTGAGCTGATTCCGATATTGCAATTCCTAGAGTTGTGGCCATTTTAAAATAATTACATAATGTGTGTCAACTATATATAGCTATTCCTCTTTCTCCTCTTCAATGTCATGTCCTACGTTTGTTTGGTATTTTACATGTGGTTGCATAGTTGACCACATGGCACCTTACATAACTCAATTATCTCCCCGTCTTTCCTTTCCAGCCAGCTGGAAAATTTATCATTTCTGACCTTGTCTTAATAATATTTGCCTCTGTGTACCTCAAGGTCCATTGCCCAATAATATACACACACATAACATCCATACAAGAGAAATGTCACACTATATTATTATTATTATTATATGCAAGCATGTGATTTGAATTATAGGATTAAATATGATATCCTCCCACTATCTCTCTCTCCCTCTCTCTCTCTAATATTGTCTCAAAGGTAAGATTGTTTGTTAGTTGTCAGGATATCAGATCCAGTGAACCAATTACTTGCTTTCTCTTTGAGGCTTGTACACCTGGACATTGGCCCTATACAATAAAGGAGTGAGGGAGGAAAGTGGAAATGGAATTTTAGGGAGAGAGAGAGAGAGGAAAGGTGTTTGTGTGAATGGGAGCATGTGAGAGTGAACCCTCTCCAGTGTGTATGGTCTACCACCAAAAGCATATAGAGATACATGCCATATGCAGCAGGTGCACGTTTCCCATTTAAATTATGTTATTGTGTCCCAATAGCCACCTCCTATTATTCCAGTGGCTTCTGGTGAGATTTAGGCCAGACTGAGCTTCCTATATTGTAGTGTGTATTAGCAAGGAAGTTACATGTTGGTTGTACAGTACAAACATGACCAGTCTTAGTATTATTTTATGCAATGAAAAACTGGTCTATGTCAAATATTCACAGGTTGCTCCCAACTCATAAAAATACACACAGATAGTACTGTACATATGTCTGTTATTAAATGAGGTGGGGGCAATAGCTCTTGAATCTATTGGGTACTTGGTATAATTAGCTCTAGCCTTATCCTTCCAGACAGTCAAAATACCCATACAGTATCACAATACCATTAGCTCTATAACCTCATCATGTCTGGGCACACTTCTTTGTTTATTATAAATTCAAGTCTTGCGTCCAGTGGAACAGACCAACGTTCCTTTATTTCCTCCAGCAAGTTGTGTCTCAGGCTATTCTAGGTCCCGGCATGACACTGGGTGGTTGTCATGGTGATAGACAACCGAAGGAAAACCATGGAATGGGCATAGGACTTAGAATAAACAGGCCAGGCTAATCTACATCTTAGCCATAATAGTATCCTGGGCGGTAATACAATGCTCATAATAATGATAATGATAATAATACACGTGTGTGTGTGTCAGCCTGTTATATGAATCACAAAATGATTAGCAGAACTGGGATACATGAATTGAATTAAAATTGCAGGAATGATTTAATAGGAACAAGACTGTGTCATCATAACACTCGTGTCTGACTTACATAGGTCTATGCATGTCAGGGATTATAGGTTTCATATTAGAGGGGCAATGACTTCCAATTGAATTTAAATCAAAGAGAAATGATTTATTACTGAAGTACAGGCGACCCAATGCCTGGGACAGTTTACAAAAGGGCCCCACAATAAAAGGGAGAGGACCATCAGTGTGTGTCTGTGGGCCCATACAAGTGTGTAATGTTTTCAACCACCATAAGGCCCTTACACACAAAACTTCCATTAGCCCTTCTCTTTGTTTTGGTTACGGACTTAGTCACAGGAAACCTTACCTGGTAATGAGAGCAGCTGTATATAGGTTTCAAAGTGGGGCTTATCAAAACTAGAATCTCTTTTGTAGGCTAGACTATCAAAAGGGATGACATACTCTAGCCAATTATCGTTATAATAATGATTTATGACGGACAAGGCTGACGGTGTAAAAAGAGCCAGTTCTTGCAGGTGTTCAGTTTAAAGGTAGAGGAACAGCTGTTGGTGGAGCAAACACACAAATATACTACACACTTTCTCACCAAACATTATTAAACAATGATAAACAAATGAATATGTACACAAACAAAGAGTACAAGACATACATGTACATGTATTTACATGATGCTGGATACAAATGTACGAATAAACAAACATATTAGACAAACAGCTCCAGTAATGACTCAAGACAAAATACTCAACAAGAAAGAATGTCAAGTATAAACTACAAGTATGTACACACACATTTATACAGAGAGCCCATGGCAAATACATATACATGTACATGTACATGTACACGCATCTACAAGACTATTACATTATCCTATCCTATATCCTAGCTTTCAAATCCTTCTGTCTTTCTTAATTCTCTAGGGCCCCTTGTATCCCACACACATACACACATATCTACTCTATACATGTACATGTACAATTGTACATGTACAGTGTACATATAAAGGGAGGAGAGAGAGAGAGAGAGAGAGAGAGAGAGAGAGAGAGAGAGAGAGAGAGAGAGAGAGAGAGAGAGAGAGAGAGAGAGAGAGAGAAAGAGAGAGAGAAAGAGAGAGAGAGAGAGAGAATGGTGGTACATTAGTATGTGTTTGTGTAGAGTTTGTTATAAGTGTATGCCCATAGTGTACTGTTGAATACAAAGGACGTTAATAGTTTGTTTATCATATACAATGTAGCTTCTGTCTTGCTTGGGGACATCTTTCTATGAGAAATTTACATTAAACACCAAACTCCAGGAAACACATACACGGACACACACAATGGAATAGACTAACTCTGATTTGGTTAGTCTATTGAATTTGGCTCAAGTTATTTATCATTGTTAAGAGATAGGCTTGTATAGGCTACCCTCTAGCATACAATGTATATGTTGTACTACTACTACTACTGTCTAACTGGATGTGAAAAACATGATTAAACTGTATGCATGGCAGAAATGATTGATCAATGAAGTACATGTACAGTACAGTAGACCCGTGCATGGTTTTATAAGGAACATGTAAGTACATGTATATGTATCAGAAAAAATTATTATAAATTCTCACCTTTTCGTTTTTGGCCTGATTTTTGAGCAAGTTAAAAATTCATAAAAAATCCAAATTTTATCAGAATCAGCTAGAACTTTCTACGCAACATAAAGACATGTAAATGCATCAGAAAAATTATAAAAATAGAAAATTCTCACTTTTTCATTTTTGGTGAAATTTGGCCAATGACCCTGTACTATAATAGTACAGGGACTTTGGCCCAATTTTTGAGCAACTTTAAAAATTCATAAAAAATCCAAATTTTATCGGAATCAGCTAAAACTTTCTACGCAACATAAAGACATGTATATGCATCAGAAAAAATTATAAAAATCAAAAATTCTTTCTTAGTCATTTTTGGCAAAATTTGGCTAATGACCCTGTACTATAGCATAGGGTGCTTTGTCGAATTTTGGAGCAATTTTCATAATTGACTGACAAAAAGCTAAACACCATAAAAAAATCCTGTGGGGAAGGAAACCCTGACACAAACAATAATTTTCTCTTGTCATTCGACACTAATTCAAAATTTCAAATCTGTGTTCACACACGCACACTCACTCTGTGTGTGTGTGTGTGTGTGGTCACTGTCTTGAGGCAGTGTATGGGATATCAGTAATACTTTGATTCATGAGAGGACTCAGACACACTGTGAATAACACTACAATGTGAATATTAATTACTATAAAATGAATAATACTTTAAAATGAACCTGCTCTCTCTCAATCCATGAATGTCCCTTTATCAATATTTTAATTTGTTTTTTTTTACCATTATCTGTAGAAATCCTTCAGAGTCTCAAATTCCCCATCTTCTTTTAGTCTACAAACCACAAAAATCTTTTAAAAAGACATCCCCTGGTCCCCCGGACACTGTCATCACAGTAACAAGGTAAAAAAACACAACTACAAAAAAATTAGAAAATTTTCACATCAACGTGCATGTCAATATTTAACCCTTTGTTCTCTCACTTTAGTCCACACGAGTGTTTCCCATTGCCTTCCACAGTGAGAGAGTTAAGGGACAGATATCCAAATTCTCAGGTCCAGTACTCAATCGTTAATGGAAAGGACATAACTTATTATTCAATTTATCATCTCGACGCCTTACGATTAACTTAATAACTATTAATAACTACCAATAGTTAATTAAAAGTTATTATACAGAGCATCGCACGCATATATGATTTCTAATTTTGATAAATCAAGTATTATTGTGAAAAAGAAGCCTATGAAGTTAAAAGTTCAAACTAAACTCAGCTAGCTACACACACTATAGCTACTAATGTCAATAAGAGTCTTAAGGACAAAATTTTGATCCTCAATCAGTCTAAAATTTAAGTCCAGCAATGGCAGACTCCAAAGACTGAGAGGAAGAAGAATAAAGAAAAAAAAGGAGAAGAGAAAGGTAGAGAGAAACGAAAGAAAAAGACACAATGATGCATATACATGTAGTACCATTTAACTGAGTCTTACCTTGCAGTTCCATATAACAAGACGACCATCAACTCCAGTAGTACAGAATTTGGAGGCACCAGTTCCATCCTTAGCAAAAATTGATATCTGACTATTAGGGGAACAAGAAACACAGCAATAATTAATTATAATAAATTAATTACAAAATAGTACAGTACCATACATTAGTAACGCGGTAGCGTTACTAAGTAGGATTCACCCCCAAACAAAATGGCTGCCATGACTTTTGCAGCCTTGCTATACCGGGAAAACGAGCTCCTATTATACATGCAGCAATTATAATTTTACATACATGTATATATATTTATTTATTTATTATACAATATTTATTTATTTATTCATTTATTTGTTTATTTATTGCAGCACATACCGTAACCCTACAATTTCAAGTACATGTACATGTGCCTAACTTACGTAATGGCATTTTGATGGGTGGAGTCCAGAGTCGTATCAGAAGAGCCAGTAGTAGTTGCCCTCTTGTCCATACCCTTGAACTTCTCCATAGCACTATCAAAAATGAAAGATGGAAAAAAATTTTTTTAAAGGATCCACGAGATTACATGTATAATGTAACTCACGAAAGTTGTCCAGAAGCTTTCTTTTCCGCCTGGTCCAAACGATTCACAAATGTGAGTTGATTGTTGTCGTCGTGGGACCAGAGGACAGGATAGCAATCAAAGCCAGCTGCAACAATACTGCTCTCAGTGAGGAACTGGCAGGAAATGTACGGGAGGTAAGTGTGCCTCACCGTAGCAACGCTATAGTGACAATGATCGAGATACGTTATTGTAAATTTAAAATTACTAATTTATTAATCAATAAAAAAAATTTTGAGGTGATTCTACATTTGTACATTAGGGTTATTATTATTATTATTATTATCATTATAAACAAATCTGAAATACAGCGTAGGGTGGGTTGCAGAGAAATAAAATTACTATTACTATTATTATTTATTATTATTATTATTATTATTACATATACACTCACCAGTCTGCACCAGCTGCCATGTTGACAACAGAGATACTGGAATCATGGCCGACCCAAGCAAGCTTGTCACCAGAGGGAGAGAAAGACACATCATGAACCCAACCACCTGGAACAAGTATTACTTTTAAAATAAAATTAGAGCCAGTTACGTCACTGACCTCCTCCATTAGAGAATTCAGCCATGACATTCCCAAAGGGCATCTTCTTTCCCCAGACAGTCTCGCTTGGCTTCTCCTCAATCTCTTTCACGTAACCTGAGAAAACTCGAGCCTTGAAATCACTGCAGCTGGCAGCAATGAGGTAATTGTTTGGATGCCAGTCGAGTGAAGTGACTGTGGAGCGAATCGGCTTCTTGATGTGTTTACTCACCCACCTTATGTAGAGAAAGAGCAATTATAAAAAAGGAAATGAAAAGTGGAGACAAAGAAATAAGAAAGAGGAGTAATGGAGAAGAAATGTAATTTAAAAGAAGTCAAATCGCTTACCAATCGTTCTGTTCATCAAAGTAACAGACGGATATTATCCTTGCTCCACTACCAACAGCAAACTTGTTCTCCAGCGGCGACCACTTGACAATGGTGGCAGCACGATTGATACGCAATATAACAAGGACAGGACTCCAGGCCTTACCGTCATACTTCCACACATAGGCGTTACGATCCTAAAGGGACAGGGCTAAGTAGTGGACGTGTCTCCCAATAAAAATACATGTACATGTACGTGTATGAATGGTTTCTTACGGCGGCACAAGTAACGAGACTCCCTCCTTTTGGCGCCCAGTCCATTCCGGTCACACGTGAGGTGTGCTCCATCAGTTTGTGCTCAAGTTCCCACTTTCCTCCCGACTTGGTGTAAATATGAACCTCGTTATTGTTAGGGGAAATGGCAAACTCTAAAATCGGAAAGAAAGTGCATTACATGTAATAATGTACATGTGTTTTATACTATAATACATTTGTATTTAAAACTCAATACATCAGCTCCCCTGCCACTTAGTTCTACTGATATATCATTACTCACTTGTTCTATCTCCATTCCAGCAGTGGCAGGTAATGGGCTCAGTCAATAGCTCGTGGACTTCCTTTCCTCCTCCGCTCATATTGTGAGACTCAGTGACACTTAAATACTTAGAAATATATCAGTGGGTTGAGGCCGCGGACTCTGGTCAGTCTACACGGCCAAGGATCTACCAGAAAGATTTGGAATTGTGTGGAAAGAGAAAGAAAATGGCTCCCTTTCCTTGTTCTGCTAGAAATTCCTTAAATGGAAGTTGGCCACGCCTACAAGCACATGATCTGAGCCACACCTCTAATTTGCATAGCTTTGTAATGGCGTCTGCAGGTCCTCCATACATAAGTGCAGGAAAGATCCGGGAGCTTGTCTCCATGCTTGATGTAATAAATGTAGTCGAGAAAGGACTGGCAGATTTCTCTAATGGTAAAGTCGTCCAGCCTGTGAGGAGCTTCCTGAATACGACTGAGCATGGAGGGTAATTAAATGGCAGATACTTTTTAAATAAAATTATTCATTATCTGCTGCAGTTTTTTAGGAGTCATGCCTGCATATTGCTATTCAAGTAATTGTCTTGCAACGAAAGTGCTTACTCTCTATACTGACAATGAGAGTAAAGGTGTTCCCAATATACAAGCGATTGTGGTGCAGATGGACCCCTCAACTGGCAGCGTAATAGCAGTAAGAACCAACTATTATAAATATATATGGTGTAGTGATACCTATTCATTTCTAATATGCATATTTATTTACTGTAAATGCACTGTAAATGATCACGACTGGCTGTTACATTGAACCCTAGCTGCTAATAATAATAATTTTCTTACTTTGTTTCTAGTTGCTTGATGGAGTTACCATTACTAACATGAGGACTGCTGCTGCCTCAGCTGTTGCATTGAAAGTATAAAACAACTTGCACTTGATAATAACTATAAATGATAATCATTTACTCTATATATAGTACACTAAACCACCTCAATCAGATCTTACACTATGCATAGTTGGATCTGGGGTACAAGCCCGGGCACATGCTGAAGCATTAAGAGAAATATGCTCTTACAAAGAGGTGAGGAGTAACAGCTTGTGATACTCACTCATGCCATCTTTTAGATTCGTGTGTGGGGGCGTAACTTGGAGAGGATCCAGAAATGTGTAGCAGATATTGGAGGAGATGCTGTGAATGCAAAGCCTTACCAAGACCTCAGGACAGCCTGTGAAGGTGCTGATATCATTGTAACTGTGTCCATGGCAAAGGAGCCTATTGTGAAAGGAGAGTGGCTTAAAGAGGGGACTGTTATTCTAAGTGAGATTAGTTTTTTAAGGATTGATTAAGCTCCTTGTGTTATATGAAAGGTGTTGGAGCTTGTCTTCCTGACTGGAGAGAGCTGGATGATGAGCTCATGAATAATTCATTAGTTATTGTAGACAGCAGAGCAGGAGCTATGAAAGAAGCAGGAGATATACTATTGTCAAAAGTATAATTATAATCTCTTTAAAGATTCATCTCATCATTCATTATATATATATATAGTGTGATATTTATGCAGAGGTGGGTGAAGTGGTTGCTAAGGGACCAGTAAACATGGAGACAGCACGCTCGCATGGAAAGAAATTTATACTATTTAAGTCTTTAGGTGTGTTTTAAATAATGGCCACCATGTAGCTGATAAACTTTTGTTTTGTGTAGGGCTGGCTATTGAAGATGCAGTGACTGGTCAATTAATATACGAAAAGTTTAATCAAAAGTAGAAAACAATACTCTTCCTAAATAATCACTGTTGTGAAACTAATAATTTTACTTTTGATTATTAAAATTGTAATGTTTTTCTAAATAATTTGTGAATGGTTTCCCAGTGTAAAGTATCAGTGCAACCCACAAACCCCATTTTTGTGACATACCCTCGTGTCTTGTGAACCAAATTTGAGAATTTATAAGGTTCCAATTCATATAGATCTACTTATCAGAATTTCATCTCCCCCAAGTGTAACTTCAAAACATATCATTAATGATAACAATTTCTGTTGATATGAGACGCTCAACTATTTTAAGTAAAACTACCATCTTGGTGATCACAATTATTTAACGTCACACCCAACTTACTCATGAACGCTTGATTACATTAAACATTAACGAAACGAATAATACATGTAACACATGGAAGAGAGAAGTAGATACAGTATAGAATTAAAAGAATACAATGCTATGATACAAATTTAATATCACTGAGTACAACATGACTTTGCTTTATCCGTCCTATAACAACAAGTATATGAGATAAGTCCTTTCTCAGATTATGCATCGTGACGGTAAGAGGCAACTTATACCCCGGCTCGACGTTCACCAGACCAAGCGAAAACCAGACAGCTTTACGACAGGTCTCCGGTAAGAAACTGCTCTTATTTGCCACCCAAGCAAAACGGATCTCGTAGGATTTTATCTCTGACTTTAGGAAAGTGAAATCTGAAGGGAGGGACATTGTGATGTCAGCCTCAGAGCAGTCGTCACGATGAATGACTGAGAGCAAGAGCTTCGCTTTTTTTAGGAAAGGGGCTGGAGACGTGAGACCATTGTATGATTTCGGGTTGGAGTAGATTCTTATTTTCTTATCGTTGTTGGTGTTTGATAGATAAGGAGAGCGAAGGTTAGTGATTGAGACGTTTGAAAAAAGAGAAGGAGAAGTGGATGAGACTGAGGTAGTTCGAGGAGGAGCCTGCTCTGCTGATTTATTGATACTCTTGTTACGATTTAAAGCAACATTATTAGTAGGAGGCTGAGCTACTGTTGTAATAGGCCTAGGATTAGATGAAGTGGATACTGGAAATGAAGCAGTCACTGAAGATGAAGAAGTTACTGGAAATGAAGAAGTTATTGGAAATGAAGAAGTTATTGGAAATGAAGAATTTACTAGAGACGAAGAAGTCACTGGAGATGACGGAGTTACTGGAGATAAAGGAGCAACCACTGGTGATGATAAAGTGTTCACTAGAGATAAATTAGCAGCTTCATTGGGACTGGGAACAGGTGAATTACGAATACAAACAGAAGTGGCAGGAATACTAGAAGAAGAGCTGGTTGTTCCCAGAGAGGATGAGGAAGTCACTGGAGATAAAGGAGCAACCACTGGTGATGATAAAGTGTTCACTAGAGATAAATTAGAAGCTACATTGGGACTGGGAACAGATGAATTAGAAATACAAAGAGAAGTTGCTGAATAACTGCTAGGAGTGCTAGTGACAGAAATATTATTAGAAGAGCCAGTTGTTCCCAAAGGGGCTACAGCAAGAGTAGGATCAGTAGCAGTTAGAGGTCCAATAACTATAAGAGGATTGGTAGTAGGTTTGACAGCAGCAGTGAGAGGATTAGCAGTAGTGCACCATGTAGTACTAGTAGTGAGAGAACTACCAGTAAGAGGAACTGCTGTAGCTTTTGTAAAATGAGATGAACTACGTGTGGTAGGAGAGATTCCTTTGCTAGTAGAATCAACAGCAGATGAGGCACTAGTTTGATTTACTGCACTAGCTGAAGTAACTGTTGAAGAGCTAGTAGTAGATTCCGTAGAACTGGTGAAGTTCAGCGGTCCAACAGATATATTCTTACTAGCAGATACATGAGGATCAGCATTGGCATTATAAACAGTTGATCCAGTAGTGGAATAAACTGCTAGTAAAGCAGTCGCAAGAGCAAAAACTGCTGGTGATACAGATGTTGGAACACTAGCTACTAGATCTCCAGAAGCAGTAGAATTACAAGGAGAGCTTTGAAGTACTGGCATAAGACAAGCAGGAGCAGGAGTTGAATGACTAGTTGATAGAACAAAAGCAATTGCATGAGTATTTGATTGAGTAGGAGCAGTTAATTGAGCAAGAGCAGTTAATTGAGTACTTGATTGAGTAACAGCACTTGAATGAGTAGAAGCTGTTGCATGAGTAGTTGACTGAGCAAGAGTAGTTGACTGAGCAAGAGCAGTTGAACAAGTACTTGATTGAGCAAGAGCATGCGTACTTGAATGAGGAATAGCTGATTGAGGAACAGCATTTGAATGAGTAGCTGATTGAGGAACAGCATTTGAATGAGTAGCTGATTGAGGAACAGCATTTGAATGAGTAGCTGATTGAGTAACAGCATTTGATAGAGTAGAAGCAGTTGCATGAGTAGTTGATTGAGTAAGAGGTGGAGGGGCTCCTGGTTCATCACTCGGTCTATCAGCGGTTGCCTTGGAGCTGCCTCTCTTTTTTTTACCACCTCCTTTTTTACCACCTCCTTTTTTACCAAAGCCTCGCATTTTATGCATGCAATCTTTCATTTTGGAAGGCCGTTCCTTCTCTGTTCTTTTTTTGCGAGGAGCAGGTGGAGTGTTGGATTTAGCTTTCTCAAGTACTTTTAAGTATATAGCAGGTGGTGGGACCTCTTCCCTTGGCATGTGTGCTTCCCTTATAGCCAGTGGTCTCAAATGAGATACTGATGGGGGTATAGTGGAGCAGATAGTGTTGGGAGAACCCCTCATCATTGAAGGCAACTTAAGCGTAGAATTAGAATAATGAGGCTTTGACAAAGAACTGCTACTTAAACTGACAAAGGATGAAGTAGCAGCTGGAGTTGCCTCTTTCATGAATGAGAAATTAGCAGTTCGAGTACCTGCATTAGTGCTGGTAGGAAAAGTGGTAGAATAAGAAGCACCAGTGACTGGAGTACTAGTAGATGGAATACTAGTAAATGAATTACTAGTGGATGGAATTCTAGTAGATATATTACTAGTAGATCGGTGACTAGTATTAGTAGATGGAGCACTAGTAAATGATTTACGAGTAGATGGAATGCTACTAGATGAATAACTAGTAGATCGATTAGATGTATTACTAGTAGAGGGATTGCCACCAGATACTGATTTTGACTTTTGAGATGATCGAGGTTTATGTGCAGTACGAGAGCTAGGAACAGTATGAGAACTGCGTCCACTCTTGGATGAAGGGATAAGTGATTGATTACTGAAACTCGCATTGCCACTATTACTGAGTCTATTGTTTCTATAGTATGCTAACAGGGTATCAAGAGGCGAGCTATATGATACTCTAACAGAAGATGTGGAAACTTGTGAAGAAGAACCGGCTCTCAAAGACACAGTGCCACCTACAAAAAATACAATAAATAATAATACTAAAAAATAACTATTATCAGAATAATAAAGAGATTCTCTTGTGTACATAGCCATTCACTTTGGCGAAATTTTTGAAGAAACTTAAATTTATAAAAAAATCCAAACATGATGTGAATCAGCTCAAACTTTATAAACATCATAAAGAACATGCATATACCACATTTTAAAAATTATAAAAATTGATAATTCTCTCCCAGCCAATATTGATGAAACACCCTGTACTACAGTAGTAAGCCTAAGAGTACACCAAATTTTTGAGCAACTTTAAAACATATTAAAAATCCAATTTAGCCCAAACTTCTACAAAGCATAATGACATGTACATTATGAAAGCAATCCCATCTAATTTTTAATAATAATAAAGCACTTACTACTTGTAGTTAATGGGCCACTGCTAGGACTAGTAATGCCACTACTTGATGATGGGCCACTGCTAGGTACACTAGTAATATTACCACTTGATGATTGTGGGCCACTGCTAGGCAGACTATTAATATCACAACTTGATGATGGACCACTGCTAGGCAGACTAGTAATATTACCACTTGAGGACTGTAAAATTAATGGACCACTGCTAGGACTAGTAATATCACCACTTGATGACTGTGCGTCATGCAGCAAGTTATGATTATTGAAACCTCTTCCCAATGCACTGCTAGGGTGAATCACAACAGGGCTTAGCAGATCCTTCAGTACTCGTGTCAATGGAGAATATAATTGAGAATTATCACCTGAGCCTGGCCTTGAAGACACTTGCCTCTCATTAGGGGCACTACTCGCTGTGCTACGAGTCCCAATTCCTCTTGCAGCTAAAATATTGCGCAAAGTAACAAAATTCCTGCCGTTACTCTGTCTATTGGCCAGTGACTGCAACTGGTGCTGGAGCTGTCTTCGTTTCAGAGCACGTTTATGTCTTAATACATTCAAAACGGACACAAAGTGACTGCTACTGTCCGACTTGAGCTTCTCTCTCTCATTCCTCCCGTAGAACTCATCAGAATCGCTCTTCCCATAAAGCCGAGAATCAATCGCTCGCTGACGAGAATTCTTAACCTGCAGCAACATGGCACGCTTTCTTTGATTAAGGTCGTCCAAAGATGAGGTTGGTATTTTTTCTGAGTCATCTTCTCTGTGTGAAGAACCATCTGCTGATTGCTCCTGAGAATCCAATGAGGTAGCTTTAGAATCAGAGTTGGCTGGGATTGCTCTAGGAGGTAGGGAAGATGCAGACACAGAAGTCGTCCTGTGGCTTATTATTGATTTCATTTTCTCAAAACTGCGTGAAGCAGCGAACGGATTGGTCCAGTGATGATTAGTGAGGTTTGAAAAGAAAGCTTTATAGCTCTGGAGGCTGGGGAGAGGTAATTTACAAATGTCACAGTATGGAGGCTTAGAGGCTCTGTCGACTCTAAATGTAATAAAACTGTCACTAAAAATAGGATACTTGTATTCGCAAGGCAAACACCTAAAAGGATAAAAACCAATTGAAGTGATATCAGACAACACTTTGGGAACAATTGCATGAATCAAATGATGCGTCTCCAGTATATTTGCCTCAGTCAGTCTGATATTGAGCTTGGACTCGGCAAGTTCGGCAAGATACTCATCTCTGTCATTGACTTCAGACTCTTCCCCACCATCATCGACGAACTCGTCGAGAGAAATGTCAGGCTCATGGCACCCAGTCTTAATAAAGAACTGGACATAGCCAGCCATTTTATACCCTGTGGTGAGGGACTCTTTAAAGCTCTCTGGTAATGTACAAGAGTCGCTGCTGATGCTCTCGACGAGGGTTTTAAAAACAAGACTCATGTCAGCTATGATTCGACCAAGAAGGAGTGACGAGACACCAGTCGTGTGATACTTGTATCTGGAAGTTCTGAATGTAACAAGAGTGTCAAATTCACGTGAGGACAATAAGAAGATGCGGTTTATGGCAATGGCTAACACGCTGACCTGTCTCCAGAAAGGCCACTCGATATCCACCTCTTTTAATTCAACAAACAAATTCCACAGTTTACCAAGCATTTCTTTAATATTCTCAGGCAACTCTATCGGTGGAGCCCCGCCCACCTCATCCTCAACCACGCCCAATACATTGTTGACCACGCCCACTAGATTTTTAGCCCCACTGTGTTTCTTTCTCAGTATCTTGGTGAGATTAGTGCAGACTGGAACACACCTACTCGCTAAATTACAATAGACTGGCTCTTTCAATAGCCACAGTGACCCTCCTCCCATACGACCTTCGCTTGATAATTGTCGCCTGGCATCTTCAAAGACTTTGGCAGACGGAGAATGAACAGGTCCATCTACTCCAGTCTGAGTTGATGCATCAAGATTAGGAACCGGGCCACGCCTACCCCTGTAGTAAGTGCCAGTAGTTCCTGAAAAACGACCTGTGACTTTAACATCAGGGACCTACGTGTAGAAATATTATAACAAGATAAAAAATTATATCAAAATACATGTACATGTACTGTATGATATAGCTAGGCCTTGTGCTGTTTTGTAGATTTTGTAATTCAAATCATCTCACACTTTTAATGGCATACAACTTTAAAAATTCATTTACCTGACAACCCCGATTGCACACAAGTGGATTATCACCAAGTTCCAAGTCGCTACTCCTTTTATTCTATAAGTGATAATAGACAATAAAGGCATTGCTATGCTATTAACTTGAGCTCATACCGTTCTCCTAGGCCTGTCCAATCTTTGAAAGCCTTTCTCTTGGTGTGCATTTACCACATCAACATAGTTATCATCTGCCCAGAGTTGCTCATACTCTTCATCCCAAATGCTATCACCATCATAGATATACTCGTCCATTAGATCAGTAGTTTCAGTACATGTCAAATCTGGAGTTTGCTCTTTCTCGCGATTGGCAGTAGAAGTCTTATTGCTTTGATTCCTTGGGGATTTCCTTCTTGATGATGAAGCTGTCCCTACAAATCCTTTCCCTTTCTTCTTTTTCTTCTTTCTAAGTGTCACAACGTCACCATCATCCTTAAGGAACTGCCTCCTAGAGACAGGAGAATAGCTAGGATCAGCGACCGAGTTGGAGCTAGACCAAGAAACAGTACGGGACCTCTTTGGCCGTGATGCCTCAGTAGTAGGATTATCACCGTTCCTTCTCTTTAGTATAGGGGCGGGTAGATAGAACGGATAAAAGTCAGCAGGTGGAGGAGTGTCTTCGTTATCACGGACACCATCACTGCCTTCTTGTTGCTCAAGTCTTTGCTGTTTCAGTTGTTTTTGTCTTCGTTGAGACTTTCCATAAGACAACTTTGCAGGTAGAAACGAAGGTAGGAGGGTCACTTGGCTAGAAAATTTGACTTTCCTACTACAAAAAATAGATATTAAATTACATGTATTGCAAATACTCTATTATCGTACAATGTATGTGCATGTCACATGCATGTAAGAATGTCACACACGTGTAAGAATGTCCTCTGTGACTACATTCATATTATGTATAGCTGTACATGTACTTACTTGGCTGACATATCATCAAGACTATCAATGTTCTCCTCCTCCTTTTCTTCGTTCATATCTTCTTTCTCCTCCTCCTCCTCCTCTGTCTCTTCCATCCCTAATTCTCTTGGTTTGTCTGGACTAAGTACAACTTGAGCAGGAACAGGAGGACTGGCGCTGCTGCTGCCACTAGCAAACTCCATCAGTGCGTGTATTGAACTAGACAATTGACTGTGATACAACTCATCTCTTGAAACACTTCTCTCCTCCTCCTCATCATCACTATCAATAAACTACACAACAAAACAAAAATTAATAGTAAAATTCAAGTATAAATTACACAATGCATGTAAGACCTATCATATACTACATGCACTATTAGCTTACGTAAACTCTTCTCTTTCTTGGGTGCCATACTGCTGGCCCTTGCACGTCTTCTTCATCTTCTTCAGAGCTCAAGTCCAGCACAAAGTCATTATTCTTTACACTTTTCTTGGGTCTGAGGAGTTGAGCAAGCTTTCGTTTACTGAGTCTCTCCAGACGAATCTCAAAGTCTTTTAGCTTTGGGAGGCACGTGTGTGCTGATGGTGACGATTCTAAAGGTGGGAATGGCTGGCAATAAGAGCCTGGATCAATGACTGGTGAGTTAGCGGGAGAGAAAGGATCAATGAGTGAGGAATCAATGAGTAGAGGAGGAAGATGATTAAAAGAGAGAGAGTTAGGGGAGAGAGTGACAGGATCGATGAGCGGAGAATCAGGAGGACTTGGTGAAGATGAAACAGAGTGGAAATGAGTAGAGAGACCTGATGGCTCCAATGGAGGCTCTGGTGATGAAGGATTTGATAGGTCTAATCGCGGGTCCGGTGATGCAAGATAAGGCGGAGGAGTAGGAGAGAATGAGCGATGATTGGGAGTAGTAAGGGAAAGTGAATCGTTGAGGTAACGATCTTTGGTGTCCATTAAAATAAGAGCCGACTGATCCTGTGATACACCCAATCCATTACTAGTTAACAAAAATAATTTTACTACTAATAATAATAGGATAGATAGATATACATAAATAATATAAGGTGCATGTATCAGTTCAATAATAATTATTATTCAAGTGGTTTCAATTCAATTATACAGCATTCTTCCACAATGAATTTACTTACTCGCAATACACAATATCTTGTCTGTTCCTAATCCCCTCTGTGTCTTCAGGATCAGGTTTTCCTGTCTCAGTAGGCATATGGATCACAGGCTCACCCTTCCTCACGTCAGCAGCCATGTTTAAGCAGGACACGATCCGGATACCTCTGTATACTTCGTTATTGAGCATGCGCAGTAATATTATCACGTGATTCAGTTGAGGCATGCATGCATGTGGCAATCGATATGCCGCATTGCTTTGTGCCTGAGACATAGCTGCAGAATGGTGGAATATTTTATACACACAGTAATAGTTATGCACGCAGTCAAAATATAAATCTGTTGTAATATATAGTACTTATATTGTTAGTTCTGCAGTATGAACATCTAAATGTTCTTTGTAATGCAATAATGCAGGCTGAACCTCTTCACTCAGAAACTCATCAACCTACAGCAAATATTATACAAATAATATAAAGAGTAATTAATGAGTATACCTGTTCAGCAGCTCTACCAGTGAATAATGCTGGATTCAGTAGCTCTGAGAGTCTTTCATGAATTGGAGCAAAGTAAGATGATTTCTTTATTCTTTCAACGAGATCATTCTCTCCTCCATCTTGCTTCACAACAGCCCCTGCTTTGTGTGACAATACTCTAATATTCTCATGACACTCCTATGAATCATTAATACAAACAAGATGATCTCAGAATTGTAATGCTTAGTAGATATACTTGTCTATTTGCTCCTAGTTTGACCATCTCCATTATGATAGTCTCAGTTGCCATAAAAGGAAGCTCTTGCGATATGTGTCTCTCTATAACCTAATGATAAAATATTAACTATATGTAGATTCATATAATCTAACCTTGGGGTATACAACAAGGCCTTCGCTAATATTCTGCAATGTAAGCAGGAGAGAATCAGCAGTCAAGAAACCCTCTGAGAGACTGAGCCGCCTATTAGCACTGTCATCAAGGGATCTCTCTAACCACTGGACAGCGAATGTTTGCTGTGTGTTTGATACTAATGACATGAGGTAGCGTGAGAGGGAACAGCACCTTTCACTTCTCATTGGGTTTCTTTTATAAGGCATTGCACTGGACCCTAACACAAAATATCATAATAGCTAAAAGTCTTATACTGTACCTATTTGATCTTTTTCAAATGGTTCTTCTAGCTCTTTCTGATTTGCAAGTAAACGTATGTCAGTACATATCTACGTACAGATGCATTTTAACATTAATTATGCTGTGTGGGTGTATAACTTATCCCTTTACTTTGTGTATAGAAGCACCAAGTCCTCCTAATGCACACAAGACATTATAATCCTGTTTACGTGAGTATGTCTGGCCAGTTATAGTGAATACTCTAGAGTAAAATATAAAATATTATATCATGTAGACATAATAAATAATAATTATATCAAAAACAAAGGTTAACTAACTTGTCAAAACCAGCCATTTTTGTTACTTTCTTATCTAATTCTTTTACCTAAGGGTATCATTATAAACTTTTATACACAAAAGCTTGTTGCTAACCTTTGAATGGTCACCATTAAATAATACTAGGAAACTTGCTTGAGTTCCTGTCGTTCCTTTGACCCCACGAAACCGAAGCTCTGACTTAGCGTGCTCCAGATTACGTAAATCAACCAATAAGTCATTAATCCACATACACGCTCTCTTTCCAACTGTTGTTAATTGTGCTGGTCTATTGTACAAAAAGATTGATCACTCCCTCTTCCTTGCTGTCAGAGTTTCCCACAAAGCATGCTAAGTGAGCTAAACAGCAGCTTCATTAGCTGACATGTAGTACTGTAGATGGCATTTAGAGCAACTTAAAAAATTCATTAAAAATCCAAATTTGATTGGAATCAGCTCAAAGTTGATACTAAGCATAAGGACAAGTATGTGTATCAGAAAAAAATTATAAAAATGAAGAATTCTCTCCTAGCCATTTTTGACAAAATTTCATCAAAGACCCAAGGCTATAGCCTTTGATCATTGGCCCAATTTTTGAACAACTTTAAAAATTCATAAAAAAATCCAAATTTGATCAAAATCAGCTCAAAGTTGAAATACAACATAAGGACATGTAAACGTATCAGAAAAAATTATAAGAATGGAAAACTCTCTCCTTGTGAATTTTGCCAAAATACCCTGTACTATAGTACTGGGTGACTGCAGGGATCTTGGGACCAATTTTTGAGCAACCTGGCAAGAAGCTGCATGAGCACTATGTCAAAATAACCCTGCTTACTCTCTCTCTCTTAGCTCACTGAAAGTGTGTAAAACCAAGAGTAGGCTGGTCTCTATGACTTCTAGCAAATTTTGACAATCTATCAATACAGCAGGCTAGCTACAAATATAACAAATATAATAATACATGCTCCTTTTCTTTACTTTGGGAAGTAAAATATCCAACCCATCTCTCATAGCAATCAAATCCTAATTAAAAGTAGCAATTAGATAATTAAGCACAATATATTACTAACAGTATTATCCCCAACATAGCAAGACGTAGCTCCTAAATGAATGATAGGGCCAGCTAATGGACAGCAGGTGGCAAATGTGTGTACGTGAGCCATAACATCGTGACGTCTTTTCTTTTCTTCTTCTTCGGCTTTCGTGAAGTCGATATTATCTAAATTATCTTCCATTTCTTTCAACTGCTCCTCAGTTATATCAAGCCCCAACTCCTAAAGGAATCACAAGTAGTGATGATCAATGATTGAAAACATGGTGGGCTCTAGAACCTTTTCTGCTTTAGCTAAATAGAACCACAGTCGTCTCCACGTACCAAATTTTTTTCTTTCAGAAAAATTGTGCCTCATCTCCCAACTAGCGTAACGGCTAGAGAGAGGGCTCCGCCACAAAGTGAAAGTGTCTTCAGGGCCAGATGCCATTTTAGTATTAATAACTAGTTGTAGTTATTAAAATAATAACTATTAATAACTAGCTCTAGTTATAAAATAATATTTCCAGTTATTAATAATGACATCACCACTAAATATCATACTTTAAAAACCACAAGCAAGCTGACAAATTAGCTAGGAATGCAAAGTTATTGTAGCTGAACAGCAGTGTCTGGCTGAACAGTGAAGATCAATGATTAAAGAAATGTCCCCAATCTCCTTTTTGTGCAAATTGTTCGCATTCACCTTATTTCTGGCTGCTGCAAGTAAGGATTCTGGCCTATCTCTGCTTTGTATTGAAGCAAATTTGTTTATTTTATAGCATCTGCTAATGTCTGCTCTCGTTTCCTTCCTTCACCAAGTAATAATGGTGGATTATTTACTGGTGGTGTACAATTACTCATTCCTTCATGGACCTTCTCTTGTCAAGGAGTTATTAATAATTGGTTTGCTCATGTCACTGGTAATACATCAGTTACTGTTGGGAGTGGAATTGAGTTTCAAGTATTAAAACCAGATCCTGTTAAGAGTAATGTCTACAATCTTATATATGGTAATACGTATGGAAAAGGTGGGGAATCATTTAATGGCAGTAGAATAGAAATCGATGCTTTAAATACTGGTTCACAAGCAAATCTTCCAGTACGTCCAGGCTATATAGTAGGAGTATACATTGATTCAAATGCAGTTAATAAGTTAAGTCTAATATATGAAGACACAGCAGAAGATATTGATATATACTACTGGGAGAATCTAACAGGACGAATGTGTGATCTTTCTTTATGTGATGCCAAAGTGATGAGAGGAGTAAGACCATTAATTGGTTGGACATTCAGTAAGTGTTCATTGTGTTTTTTATTATTAGTTATTATTTTTGTAGGCAATATTACGAGTGAGAGTACCCTATCATCTCAAGAGAACACAATAGAGTTATTAAGAAGTAATGCTAATCCTCAATATTGCAATGATAGCACTTCAGCAATCACAAACTGCTCATTGTTGCCAAGTACTAGTAGCGCTGAGATAACAATGTCTTCACTGCATACTTCCATAACAAGTTCACAGTCTTTGCTGTACACAAGCAGCAGCACTTCAAAGGAATACTTCCATACTACTACTAATTCCATTGAAGGTAATTGATAACAGGATTATGCTATAAACAGACACACACAGCACTAATGATATCATGTGTGTGTATCGCAATGTGTGATTTCACCCACTCACTCACTGTACATATGTAATCTATTATAGGTAAAACTTCATCATCGCTAATTCCTTCTCATAGTACTTCTCCTACAATGCAAGCTTCTTCTCCTATAATACAAGCTTCTTCTACAGCAACTACAGTATCTTCTACAGCAAATACAATATCTCCTACAGCAGCTACAATATCTCCTACAGCTCTAAGCAATGGGGGAACTTCAACTCAATTCTTTTTCATTTTAGGTGTATCAGTTGCTGCACTTCTAATCATCATCATTGTCCTTTTACTTGTCTTAATTTTCCTGTTTGGCTACAAGTGCATTAAGAGATGTCGTAGTGAAAGACTTGCCAATAAGACGATAGTAGACTCTGCTAGAAATACAACTGGACAAAGTATGACATCATTGAGCATCATGCGCATGGTTGCAATTCAAATGTGTGATTGTAATTATAGTAAAGAAATACTGTAATGGGATATCAAATATCTGTCTCTACTATACTCCATCCTCCTACATGTTTTTCCCATAGAAAAGACATGTATCTTTAGCAAATAATTAAGCTCCAGGTGTTAGCATTTTTGCTAATTATGTTAACCCATGCAATTGCAAGGGATTGTTTACCACTTGATTGATAGTGTATAGCTACAAAATAAGCTTAAATAAATGTTATTTTTCCTTTTTAGATCCTCATATATCAACGGGTGTCAATCCTTCATATCATCAACACTCAATCATTACTGCAGCTGGTCCTACATGCAACACAGAGAGAGAGGAAGGGATTCAAATGAAAGAGGGACAACAGAATTATGAATTGGTTGATAGCAATAAATATGATGACATTCATGTTTATTTCCAGCCTGACCCACCTCATGCTATCAAGGCTAAGCTCCATACTTATGGGAATGTCGCTAATAACAATTCAAAGTGGAATGAATATGGTCCTATATATGAGGACACTGATACATTGTAGTTTTTATAGTCTAAGTTTTTTATTGTTTATTAAAAAAATAACTTTTTGGAGTTTTAGGGTGTGGCTCATGATCTCAACACCCACGAATTTGCTTTGTAAGAAGCTATGTTCCTGTTTCTCAAGCTGTTTCTTTTTCTCTGCTCTACGATTAGTAGTAAAATCACGCTTGCTAATGTCTGCTCTCGTTCCCTTCCTTCATCAAATGGTACCGGTGGTGTATTCACTGGTGGAGTACAATTACTCATTCCTTCATGGACCTTCTCTTGTCAAGGAGTTATTGATGATTGGTTTGCTCATGTCACTGGTAATACATCAGTTACTGTTGGGAGTGGAATTGAGTTTCAAGTATTAAAACCAGACCCTGTTAAGAGTAATGTCTACAATCTTATATATGGTAATATGTATGGAGCTAATTTTGGTGGTGTTGAAAGTGCAATTGGTACTAGAATAGAATTAGATGTCATTGGGCAACATCTCCCAGTACGTCCAGGCTATATAGTAGGAGTATACATTGATTCAAATGCAGTTAATAAGTTAAGTCTAATATATAAAGACACAGCGGAAGATATTGATATTTATTATTGGGAGAATCTAACAGGACGAATGTGTGATCTTTCTTTATGTGATGCCAAAGTGATGAGAGGAGTAAGACCATTAATTGGTTGGAATTTTAGTAAGTGTACATTATGCATTTTGATGCTAATTAATTATTTTGTAGGGAATATTACTAGTGAGAGTACCCTAATGACTCAAGAGGGCACAGTACAGTTACTGAGATCCAATTCACCTGAATATTGTAATGAAACTGAAGTATCATCATGTTTTCTACCTTCAGAATCAGTAGAACCAACAATGTCCACTACACTCATTCCATCATCATCATCATCATACAGGTAAATATATAATATTTTTACAGATTTTACTTATAACTATACATAATGTCTCTCTTATCTTTCTCTAATAGCTCGTTTTTAATTTCATCATTGCCCTTCTCTCCTTCTTTTATATCAACTCCTCTGTCCTCTTCTCCATTAATTGCCCCCTCTTCTCCAATAACTATTCCTTCATCTTCTCCAACTCAAGGAGAGGATGATGGTAGTGTCCTCATAATTCAAGTATCTTTAGCTATTGGTTTAATAATTACATTAATCATGATTTTTGTAATCATTTTATGTTCATACTGTCTGTATAGAAACAAGGCCAGTATTAAGTTAGTGACTCCTCAATCTATAGGCAGCACAAACAACATAGGTAGGCCATGAATATGAAATTAAATTTCATTTCATTTTATGACAGTAGGTGATGTAACAAATGATGCTAATCCTTGCTATGGTGTGAATGTCACTAGTGCTGGTAATGATATTGTTGTATATGATGAACTGAATAACACCAGTGATTCACAACATATGATCACAAGTTAGTTTTACTGATGTAAGGACTGTGTTTGTTAAATGTCATATAGCTACTGAGGCCAACCCTTGCTATGGAATAAGTAATGAAAGTCAACTTCCTAGTGGTATGGAGCCAGGAGATGATGATGACTATATATAATCAGTGTTATTCACATTTCATTCATTAGTTTTAATAATATAATGGTTACTTGTTTGTTTTTAGAGCTTAATGTACAAGCATAAACTAAGACTCCATTTGAACTGTTGCATAAACTGCTTTGTTATTATTTTCATGTAACTGACATATGCTTAATGATAGATACATTCATGAATGATTGATTTACTGTATTTGATTCACACTAGTGAATGATCAAGGGCATATAACATACTCTGTCATGTAATAATTGTGATTTATAGCTTTAACAACCCACTTGCTTGATTAACATGCTCAGTAGAAAAATGTGTTAAAACAAACAATGAATGGTCTGATCAGTTGCACATACACAAGAATATTTCCAGCTATAACAGGTAAAGTGGTCTGATTGTCAAGTCATACAACAATGCCTCCTCGCCAATCTCCTTTTACTTCTTTGCTACTTTTTTTATTGGCACTCATTCATCTCTACCCCAGTATGAAGGGCAGGGGCAGCTGATGAC